CATAAAACCTTTCCCTTATGCATTATAGGCCTAAAATTTTCGTATGTCCGTGACAGAAAAGCCCTCTAAAGCCTCTAATTTTCTTTTTGTTTTTTTTTAAAAAGCCGTTTCATAAAATAATCTCAGGAAGTGATGGCAGCAGTATTTTTTTATATTTGGGGTGAAACTTCTAACAAATACCAGGGCTTCCGATAGGTCGGGGAAGAAAAAGTCAAATTTCGCGGGATTTTTGGAGACAAATTCGCGGAAAATCGGCCGATTTAGCGGGAATTTCGCGGGAGTTTTTGGGGCAAACCTCAACAAAAAACAATCGGTAAAAAAGGGCCTATTTTGTGGTTATTTTCATAGCAAATTTCGCTTGAAATCGATCAGTTTTGGGCTGATCAGACCAGCACTTTTAACGTTTTTCTAACAGAGGTCATCATTTGCTCTTTCAACAATTCTCGGTTTTCACATGACGTCATCAAAATTCAAACTAAGAAACTATCGATTCTTCTGAGATTCTGAGTTTCATGAGGTATTACAGCACCTAAACACCTTTATTTAAACAGAGGTTTGGTTCGAAAGGGTTCTTCGTTTTGCGATAGAGGACGTTTGAATTTCTAGGCTTTTGCGTGACGCGGCATTTAGCTGGCGGCCGGGACTGCTCTTCTGTGGGTTAAAAACATTACCAGTTTTGGGAGATTTTGCTATCTAAACATTCCTTCTGTCAGAATAAATATCACTTTAATAGTTTATGAGTTTTTTAAGCGATGAATTAACGCATTAGTAGGAAAACTCAAAAACAGATGTTTCTGTTGGTTTCCGGCGGCCATATTTGTGCCCCTCAAAGGGACACAAACATGGCGCCTCCATACAAAGCTTTATAAATTTGGGTAAAACGTTTTTCCTAATATCTCGCATATGAAATATCGCACAGACCTGATTCTTGGCAAGGTCTTTTGCTTATTTATCTTCTTTTATTTCCAAGATTCGGGACTTTCTGTATCGAATGGTTTGCAATTTTATTTTTGATTGCGTGACAGTGAAAACCGAGAATACGCTCCCGAAATGCACCAATGGCAAGGCCTTTAACATCATGGCTAGTGCCCAGTTTTTCGCAACATACTTGACGCCTGGTAGTTTCGGGACGTTGTTTGCAGTGACGAATTCCAAGATAAATTTGCAAGTTTACGGCAAGTAAATAGCCCCTATAGCTGAAATAAGTTTCAAATATGTTGTACAGACATGTATTTGATAAGATTTCTACCGAATTTCGCGGTATTTTTCGTGTTTTTGTGAATTTCGCGGGATTTCGCGGATTTACCTGAATTTCGCGGCTCCGCGACCGCGTGAACTATCAGAAGCCCTGAAATACCCACCTTTTCTTGGGTTGGTGGAGGTGGGGTTTACATTACCTCCTGTGTAACAGGTTATCAATAACAATGACGTTTAAGTTTTTTTTAATCGAATTTGAAGATGCAAGAGAATACAACCTAAGTCACATTCTTTACTCTTGTGTGACTGCAGCTGAAAGTTGGTTTGAGGACAGTAGTCTGGTTTTACCCAATTCTATTTTTGTGTTTTACCCAATTCTATTTTTGTGTTTTTTTAATGTACTTCCCTCTCAGTCTGTTGCCATAGCATGTGTTTAAGTGAAAGCCAACTACAAAGATGAATGTATTTCACTCTCAGTCTGTTGCCATAACATGATAAATTTAAGAAATCAGTTGGCTCACATACAAATCCCCAAGCAAAATCCCTACCCCAAGGACTGATAAACAAAACATGAAAACTTAAGCGAAAAACTAAATAGCAAAGCACTAAGAAAAAAAACATTGGAGACCGATTATTTTGTTCAGGAGGATTTGCGTAGAAAGCTTAAGAGGTGAATGGTCCTTAAACTCGCTTCAGCGCGAAAATATGCTCAGACATTATGGGCTCCTGCAAATACGAAGAGAAGGTCATCTTATCTTTCATAATGTGCCCTCGATTATGTAAAGGGGTTCTAATGCACCTAAACAAAAAGATAACTCGAAGAAAGTTTCCAAGCTTTGATTTACTTTTGAATCCTGGTTACGGTGTGTCCATTTTCTTAACAAACAGTAGTCGAGCGCCATATATTAGCATGTAACTCGAATAGCGCCGTGACGTCAGTTTGAGGTCCTTGAGCCTTGGTAGATAAATCGTAGAGGAAGGAATTTTAAGTATTGTTAGCTCCGCAAGTATAGTTATTTAAATCAAAGATAGTGGAGGAATACTTTCACTAAAAAGTGGCGGTACGTTCAGATTGTTAAGAAGAATCAATTTATAGGGAATGCGCATTTAGTAAAACAACACTTTATCTGGGACTGATTTTTCTTCTTGTTTTTGTAAGGTTTGCATACATGCAAGCACATAAGCTGTAATGGGAGTTTTAAGTGGAGACTGCTCCTTAACCTCGCTTTAGCGTGGAAATGTGCAGCTGCCAAGAGAAAATTAACTTTTCACGAAATCTGTCCTCGATGTTGTAAAGGGGATTTAATGTGCCTAAACAAAAACGGGATGCTGAGAGAAAGTTCTCTTCTGAATCCTGGTTTAAAGGTGTGTCTATTTTCTTAGCAAGAAGTTGTCGTGCACCGTGATGTTTACATGAAATTCTAAAAACAAACCTGACGTCAACTTATACCTTTCTTAAACCTTTTTAGACGTAACTTTTAATTTTACGTATTTGAAACTCCCGGCAGGTTTAGCATTTTTAATTAAAACTGTATCAGTTCCCTAAAAAATGACATTGAGACAGATAGTCAGTTTCTCTCGGAAGATTTGCGTGAAGCTTATCGAGAAGCTGTATTGAGATTTTTAGAGGTGACTCTCTCTTGACCTCGTTTGAGCAAAGAAATGCCGATGTCTATAGAAGATTTTTATTTTTCACGACACTTCTGGATTATCTTAAGGGTTTAAATAATCTGAAACGAATTAAAATGATTGTTAGACGAAGTGATCCACATTTTATCTGTTATTGTGATGTTGAATTTTTGTTACTCAGCGTCTACTTTCTTAACAAGAAGTTGTCGTTATGCACCGTTATTTTTACATGTAACTCAAATAATACCAACGTGACGTCAGTTTTGAAGTCGTAATGAACCTAGTCAAAAAAGTGCTAACAATTTTACGTATTGTGACCTCCCGGCAAGTGTTGTAATTTAAAACAAACCTAAGCACTTTTCCTAAAAAGTGAAAGTGTACTGTTCAGTAGCACCAATTTATAGTGTGATCTACGTTCAAAAAATGAAACTGTAGCTGAGACTGATTGTTTTCTTTCGGAAGATAGAACTTCATTGTAGTTATAACCTCGCTTTAGTGCGGAAATACATGTATGCAGGTGCATAGAACCCAAGAAGATCATCCTTTCACGAAAACTGTCCTCTCGATTATTTAAATGGGTTTAAGTGTTACTGAACAATAAACGATTTTCAGAGGACGTTTTCCATGTGTTTTCTTTCTTTTCTTTTTCCCTTTTACTTTCTTTTTTCTCTTGTTTTTTTTTCTGTCTTTATTTGACTCCTGATTACGCTACGCCAGCTTTGATCACAAGAAGTGGTCATACACCGTTATATAATTCCAACGCAATATAGTAACAATGTGACGTCAGTTTGCTGTTCTTGAACTTCGCTAGACAAAACTTGATACTTAAAATTTTATCATATTGTGAGCAGGCAGGTGTAATAATTTAAATCAAAACTAGTCGATAAGGTATAGGGTCCCTAAAGACACTGTGGACCAATTGTTTCGTGAGGGAGATTTGGTTAAGCACAGTAGCTGTTTGATTGTTTAAAGAGGTTGGACTGGCCTTTAACCTCGCTTGAGGAAGGAAATGTGTTGTTCCAAGGGAGGATCATATTTTCTCGAAATCTGATTTTAAAAGTTTGTGTGCCTGAAAGAAAAAAGAAAGAAAGAAAGAAAATAGTTTTGCATATTATGATTTTATTTATTTGTTATTTTTGTTTTCAATTACCCTTTTTTTTTGCAGATCAGCAATTTTGATCAGCAATTTTGTACCAAGTTGAAAAATTTCTGACATTGGTTAGGAAGAGTACACATTCCTTGTATTATTTTAAAGAAGATGTATTGGAATCCTTGTTAGACTTGTACTTGTGCAATGCGGTAAGAATTGTAAATAAGTCGTGTTAGATTGTTTCCTTTACTGAGAAGCTTGTTGTGGTAAATAGTGCGGTGGTCTTACGACGGGGAACACTCTCTTTTAATTCAATTGTTACTCTCTCCGCTAAATCATAAAATAACATAGTAAGGAGCTAATCTCACTTTTCAGCGCTGAAACGTCTGATTTGAATCTGATTAACTTATTTTCAACCCCGTTATGAAAAGAGGTTTCAAATATAGAAAATCTTCCTCATTCCAAAACCAGTCGACTTTAAATAGAGCTGCAAAACACACCCACCAAGTATTTGCCGGAGAGGTAAGATACAGCAAGTAAAGCACATTCAAGAGTGAAGACAATGTTTGCGAGGCAAGTCTTCGGTTACTTCGCTTTTCAGGTGTTATTTTTGCAGCTCACTACAGGTAAATGTCTAAGCTATTGAATGATTCTTGACTACTGATTTCTTACAGTTTCTGCAAGAGAAGAAACATTTTGTAAAACAACTTGATTATTTATTCACGTTGCATTTAGAAAATGTTCATGGAGGTTCTACCTTTTTGAACTGTCAGAAATGACCGCGAACCCACAAATTTAAGAAAGTAGATGATAGTGAAAAATGTCTTAACTTTATGTGTGTATCCGTTCTTAAATACGAATGATTCCTTGGTAAAGGTTTGTGTTAAGGTCCGTTTCATTTCATTTATGAACTGGGACATGAAGCAATCCCTTGGAGTCAATATGGAGTGGTTACAATTAGGTATATTTGTCTGTGCAATGACTGTATACAAGGTCGATGAAAGGGAACGCATACAGATGACAGGGTATTACTTCAATGCAATTAAATAATATTTAACTTTAAGATACTTTTAACTTCTTTTGCATGTATGGTATTCAAGCGTATGCCCTTCAAACTGGGAAGGTGAATATTTCTGACACATCACAAAACAACCATGGCTGCCAGACCGTTTCTTTCAATACTCAGTTCCAGGGTTCTGGAGACGTAAAGGTGTTTGCAACGCTTAGCCACGGAAGCGAACATGTCAAAATCCACGACCCAGCGTCTGTTTGGGTGAAGTCAGTGTCCACATCTGGTTTTGATGCCTGCGTTCGTGAAGCAGGAAGTGGTTCTGGAGGCGGGTCTGTGATCAACTGGCTTGCATTTCAAGGCTCGCACCAAGGCATTGATTCAGGAATCGTTGAATTTGATGAATTCACCTCAAGAACCCAGTGCAAGAAGATATCGCTTAGTATTCAGAATAAGGTGAGATGGTAAAGTAGGTGCATTCAGTCAGTCATTTTAAGATACTTAGAGGTGACAAACAACACATTCTCACTTGCGCAAAATCGATCAGGCATGGAAGAAGAGGTCTTGAGCCTAAAGCTACAATCGAGAATTCGGAAGTCCCATGCTTTGCTGTCATGATTTGTCGCTTAGAAGGAAATTTGAAAAGTGTCACATCAGGGTTATGTAGAATCCCAGACCGTACATTTTCATTCTTCTTTTTTTTTTCTGTGTCATAGATAATTCTTCTTTTGTTACTCTGTCTTACTTAGGCGAGACCCCAGGTGTTTGTGACTGTTCTACATAAACATTCCGACCGACGATTTGACGCCATGAATATTTGGCTAGAAGACGTCAAAAAGGATGGTTTTGTGGTTTGCTTGAGGGAGTTTATGAGCTTCGACGGCATCCATTCGGGTCTCAAAGTGGTAAGTTGAAATTAGAGAAGTCTGATGTTCACTAGCCTTTATTGCTCTTTTCGCGAATTTACCACACAGGTTTTGCGTGGCAAAGAAGTCCACCTTGGGGTAACTAAAGGGTGTTCCAGTACATGTGGCATGACACACTACACTACTATGTATATCAAATTCTGCGTCTTGCTCCTTCTTCAAGTTGTATTACAAAAATTAATATATCAAAAACAACAGTGACAACAAGGAAATTGTTTCAGTTAAGTCTTAAAAGCACTTAAAAGTGCTAGTTTATTTAGGTTAGATATACCTGTTCCCAATGCTTTTTGCAGCACTTCTGTCTGTGGGAGCTTTCTACCTCAGGACGAAGAATAATGATAATAATCCTCCGCAAATCTGCAAATAAATCTGTGTATATTCTGTTTATTTTTTTTTTATTACTTTTTTTTTCGTGAAAGAACTGGCTTGCGTATGATGTGCTCCCGGCGTCTTGGAATATTACTGAAAGAGGAAAGCTTCATTTTTCTGGACTTGGTGCACCAAAGAAAGGAAACAACTATGCTTTTTGTCAGGTTGGAAAGACTATCGGTCTTTTATATGTATTTGATGAGCCTCTGTTTAGTTAAGTTCAGCTCAAGCGAAAACGTGTATCGCTCATTTCCGAGAGACACTATAGCGGTCCGTTTCTATAATGAATGTACGGTTATCAGTGACAAAATAGGGTTTATCGTATCGTTGATCTTGATTTCCGTTGCCCACTATACTTGAATTGTACAATAGTGCATCCAATAGCAGTCTTTATAAACCTTGATGTTGCACTATAATCTCTTTTATTTATATCTTTTGGGAAACTTGCAAAACTTTAAGAGGAAAAACACTTTTACCTATTATTATAGGCAAGTTAAATAGGAACTGTCTTACATAACAACAACAACAACAAACAAAAACGTTATTGACAGCAATGAAACCCATAACACATACACACTACCTACATTAGCAAAAGCTATTGGAGTCAGGCATTGTACATGAACTGATGCATTTTTAAATGTCTTAAATGTTAAAACAAAGAAAAAGACAGAAAGGCCTTTGAATTACAATAGTTTTTCTTAAACCGAGGTCGGAATAAAAAGGTGATAAGCTTTGAATAAGGCTTTAACTATGCATTTTTGTGTAATAATGGTTTTCAGGATTATAAATTCGAAAATCCATTTTACGAGCCTCCCAGTGTCCTCGCGTCTGCCAGACATGACAACGACACCAGTGCTCTGTGGATGAAGGCTGATGGTCGTTTTAGCAACGCTTTAAATGTTTGGATCGAGGTAAGTAATTTTGTAGACCATATACAGCCATTTATCTTTCCTCATTTATTGAAACTGATTTTAGGGTTCTGTTTTCAATTGCCTCCACACTCCAAGTAACTGAGTAAAAATAAATTAAGCGCTCGAAATGGCTGCACCGCTTTTATATTTGACTTGAGTCAAATTCCTCAGTCATTACTGTCGTTTCAACTACGGTTTTGTACCAGGCAATTTTTCAATATTTTTTATTTAATTTCAAATGTGGGCTGGAAAAAAACTGGCGAATAAAAGAACTTCATTCAATTTCAGTAAAATTGAGTCAGTCGAAAAAATTGACTTAGGTAATTCTAAAAAGTTATTTTCTACACATACTTTTCTTGCGTTTGGAATTCTCACCCCACAAAAGAAATACCCACTCTTTAAAAATCTAGGAACTAGGAACCTACTTAAGACGCAGAAAGCTTCACTTTTTTTCTCAATTTACTTGGATAGACTAAGGAAATTTTTGAACTGCCAGATATTTAATTATAAATTTAATATCTAGTTCATTGTTTAGGAATTCTATAAATTTTTTGTACTTCAGTTTGACCGGAGTAGTAAATTGATCGAACTGAACAGTATTTCTCGCTAAATTTGTAGCAGTCATACCTGAATGAATTTGTTGTCTTCTAGGAAATCACTCGTTTGTCTTTCAAATTGTGCATCAAGGACAGCCAGGGAATAAGCAAGTCTCACGATCCAGTTACAGTGGACTATGCAATTGTGGGAGGTAATTTGTTGTTTGCATTGCATCCAAAAGAAGAAACTTTAGTCAAGATAACAAGCAATTTTTAAAACCGAAAAAAGAAAAGAAAAACGAAAAACGAAAAAGGACAAGTTTTTTGGACATATACACATGTAGTGAAGCTCTTAAAAAACGTAGTCTTTTATAATTCTTCTGACTTAAGTCTCGCCCCGCATGCCGAATGGGGTAATATTTTTCCCAAAAATGTATTATTTTAAGCACTTTTTGCTTCAGGAAGATTTCCAATAGGAGTTGAGGGAAAAAATTGGTTAAATTCCTGTCGTAAGAAGTGATTTTGTATTTTGTCTCAAAGATATTGACCCGTGCACAAATGTTACTTGCGATTACCATGCCATCTGCAAAGCTTTCTCTGCTTTTGATGCCCGATGTGTTTGTGATGACAACTGTCCGTCATATGAGGAGCCGGTGTGTTCATCCAACTCGACAACATTCAAGAACAAGTGCTTTTGTCTGTTGGACATTTGCCAACGCAAAGGCAACCACACCCTTTATCATCCTGGCAGCTGTACAGGTAGAATTCTTACTAGGCTTTTTTTACATTACTTCTTTTTTGCCTACTGCAAAGCATGAGACGATCCACTAGGCCTGGGTCAGGATTAAATATTGCTTTTGTTTCCGCCTTCTCAGCGCATGTCCCTCTTACTCCCTGCACACACATACTCCCCATCACCATAGATGAATTGACAGAGAAATTCATAACGGCCTTTTCTTTTATCATTAGCTCTTGATGTCACTTTGGCTTACTTTGTTAATTTGTTAATCTAATGTGCTGGATACGAGCTACCTGGATGTATCACTTTAAAGGCCATTTAAGCCTGGCATTGAAGCAAAAACTCTTTCTTGTTCCTCTATCCTTATTTGTTTTAACTCTTTGCATTTGTATACTTCTTTAGGCTTTCCAGTTCAGACCGGGCGGGTTTCACTCATAAGACGGGTAAAATCAGCTGAGACGGCCTGTAAAGTGGTGAAATTTCCACCATTCTCCTTCTATCCAGACAAAGAAGTACACGTGCAAATAACGACCAATCACTGGAACATCAGCAGGAAAAATTTTATACATGATGCCACAGTTTCATGGGTGCACACCGTTAACTACGAAAATTTTGAGGTGAATCTTAAAAATGATGGTTTAGTTTATGATAAAGGCCAGCGGTCTACCAAGTGGTAATAGTTTGTAATTCGGTAGGATTTAAAGATTTCCATTCTCGGCGTGTATGTTTTTATTTCTCTTAACCTTTTTATTGACGATTTGTAAAAAATCCATTTACTGTTCCTTAATTGCTAACGTAATCACTGTGTAATTACTGTTCTTTAATTCCTGTTCATAACTTGTACTACTTTTATCATTTTAATTGTGCTCATCCTGCATGTCTTGCTTATTCTGAAAAATTAACGTTATATAACATTTATAGCCTGTTCCAGGCGTTCAGATAGTAGGGAGCGGTGCGAAGTAAAAAGGAGCGCGAAAAAATAAAAGCGAGGGAGGGGGAGAGGCACCTCTCTCCCCAGCCCCCCTCTACTTTTTATCGCTTTCTTTACTTCGCACCGCTCTCCACTATCTGAACGCTTGGAACAGGCTATAACATTTAAAACTTGACATCAGAGTTTTTCCCCTTATATGTATTTATGTGTGATTAATCCATCAAAAACTGCTCGAAATATTGGTGTGCTATTTGACTCGTCACTGTCTATGGAAGAACATATTAAGGCAACCTGTAAATCTGCTGTCTTCCATTTAAGTATCATAGCTCGAATACGAAAGCACTTGCTAGCACAAGCAGCAGAGACCTTGATCCATTCCCTTGTGACCTCAAAAGTGGATTTCTGCAATTCACTTCTTTATGGTGTTCCTAATCAACCGATACAAAAACTCCAAAGAGTTCAAAACTCAGCGGCCAGGCTATTAACTTATACCAACAAGCGGGAACACATTAAACCTGTGATAAAACAGTTTCACTGGCTACCTGTTGAGTTCAGGGTCCCGTATAAAATCCTACTCAGGACTTTGGTAATGTTTAAATGACACTGCTCGTGCTTATCTTAAAGATTTAATTCACCTGTATACGCCAAACCGCAGTCTGAGATGAACTCAAAAAACTACTTAGCTCATGAGCAATACCACCTGAAAAGTTATGATCCGGTTAGAGCCTTCACAATTGCAGCACCCATTCTCTGGAATGCACTCTCAGATAGGCTCAGAGACCATTCAAATTTTCTATATCTTCTTATAAGAAATAACTTACAACACACTTTTTTAAAATAGCTTTTTAGCATGTGAATTTTCTACTGCTGATTTAATTATTTAAATAATTCCTTATTTTATTGTGAAGTGGTAATTAACTTTACGGAATTAGCGCTATATAAGTGTTACTTGGACACAGATAAAATCTCAATCAACCAAATAACTGTTGAATTTTATCTTTAGGTCTGCGTGACAGCAGCTGGAAGAAATGACCGCTCCATTCAAGAGTTTGCCACCGTGGACTGGGTGGCTTACCAAGGAGCACCTGATGGTGGTGTGGCAGGAAAATCACGCATTTCACAGTGGTGGACTGGATCACAGTGTAAAGAAGTTAACCTTCCTCATGTAATTGTCTATTTTGTGTCTATTTTTCAGTGCAGTTGGCGATCTTTGGGGCGGCGGGTAGGGGTGGGGGGGGGGGGGACCTAAACGTGGCGAGAGGTTATGCCACCCTCCCATTAGTAATATCCATGATTACGAATCTTACAGTGTCAAAGTTTCGATGCTGCAGTAGGAAATTGCATTATTTTTTCAATTGCCGCCATACTGGATTGTTATTGTGTTTTGGAAGGTGACCGATTGTGACGCAATCACGTTATTCAGATATTTTGCATTTTAAAAACCACAAATTTTGTTTTGCATAAGCCTGACTAATTCAACAAAAATCCGAGATATCCAAACGATGTGAACCACGGTCAGGTTGGACTCCATTGCACAAAGTATGTTTTACGATTGAGGGACGGGGAGGTGGGGTGAGGGAATCAATTGATATTATGGTGGATGGAGGGAGGAAAAAATGTAAGATTTTTAGATGCTTGAAAAATAAAGTTTGAAGTGAATAATTGATAGTAAAAGACCGATTCATCAGGCCCTGCTCCCCAGGAAGCTCATTCGCAGGCTAAACCCCTTAAAACTGCAAAAACAATCATTCATTCATGCACTATATTTTGTCGGTACATGGCAAATGTTTGTCTTCTGCCAAGGCGGTTATAAAGCATAAACCAACAGAAACTGAAACTATGAAACAAAACAGACAAAACCGGCCTTATACATGTGAAGGTTAAACTCCTGGCGGCCAGAAACATGCAGATCGTGTTTCATTTTTTGTTCTGAGCTTTTTGTTTTGGATATGTTGTTAAGAAATTAACAGTATTAATTAGTCTGGATATACAACTCACCTTTTGTGATTTGCATTAACGATTGCTTCACAGGGAAAGTTTGCTACTGCGCCAACAGTCCTGGTTACAGCAGAACATATTAGTGCAGCCTTCAAGCATGATGCCGCCAGTTTGTGGGTGGAGAACGCAACCAGTTCCTCCTTTTACATTTGTCTTCGAGAACTGCAGAATTATGATGGTCTACATGAGGATATCTTTGTGGTAGTTTGATTGTTATCATTTTTCTGAGGGATGCACATTAAGAACCGTAGAGAAAAAAAAGCACATGTCAAAAAGAGAAAATAAAATATATAAAATATATAAAGAAAGAAACATCACATTTAGCAAATAGTGATGATGAACATATCTCAAGTGGTCAAAAACAGTGTGTGTATGAATATCGTAACATTTCAAGCTTCCAATTCTATTTTTATAAAGCGACAGATGCAAAACTCAGGACTGGTAAATTTCGTTCCGGAATGGAGTTTACCTTTTGTACAAATCAGCCCCATTTTCTAAAAAACGGCCGCAAAGGCCTGAAACTGGTATCAACGATGGCTTTGAAGAAATGGAATACGAATTTCCCTTTCGAGCATTCCGACTGGACAAACAAGACTACCTTCCCAGATGTTCCGTTGTTGCTCCTGGAAATTTTCCGTTGTAATGACCCATGGAATCGTGATCCATTTACTTTCCTACCGAATTTTTCTGGAAACTTTTACGTAAGTGGTAAACAACTCCTCGTTTCCACCTGTAACTATAAAATTGACTATTAACGAGACGGCATCTAACGTAATGACTGGTTTTTAAATTAAAAACGGCAGGTACTAGGTATATGTTATCATCAGAAGATTCGTTTGAAATCAATCACTCTCGACTGCTGAACATTACTTTTTCAGAATTGGATGGTCTTTGATACAATCCACCGGCCCCTTTTTGCCGAGAGCAAACAAGTGCATTTTCCAAACAATAACCCTGTTTCTGCGAACACCAATGGTGCATTTTGTAAGGTAAGAAACAGGTGTAAGCGAAAACCTACAATCTTGGACTAAGTTAATGAAAAACCTAGACCCCGCTCCCCCTATTTGAAAGACGGAAAAATGACACGTTTTTGCTCTTCGCGCGGCTTCATCCTTGATTTGGGGCGGGGCGGGGCGGGGCGGGGGGGGGGGGGCAGGTGGGGGTTTGCTGTTCAATTCAATTCTGTCCAGGATTGTAGCTCTCTGATTATTTAAGCTTGTGCAGAGAAATGAAAGCTGATATTCAACAAGTCCGAATCGTTTCTTTGTTTCGTTTTGTTGTTGTTGTTTTTTTATTGGCTGCATCTGACTGTGAAACGCCTTAAGTAATCTCGACCATAATCCTTTGACATGCTTTGTGTTCTGAAGGAATTTTGTCAGAAATGGAAACCGGGTAAGGGAACGTCTTTAAGTTAACCTTGTTTCAACTAAATTCTTCCTATAAAAAGGGTGTTTTTCCACTCCCTTCACTGTCTTCACGGCAGCATTCTTCTAGGAAAACCTTGGATACAGGTTTTGACACTTACATCTTACGTAGCATGAATTAACAAAATGGTGTGCTTTGAACTTAATTTACTATATATTAATAGCCTACGTTTTCTACCCCTAGGACGTGCAATTTGCAAGAAATTACGACAAAGAACCCATAGTAGTGATAGCAGCCAGTCATAACTCAGAGGGCAACAACTTAAAACCAATACACATGTCTGTTACTGCTTGGGTTGAGGTAATGTAGGATGGAAGTGTTTTAAGTCATATGATAAAAAGGTCAGAAGCAAAAGAATACTACATTTTTTATGTCAAGAAGTGAAGAGATCTATGTGGAAGTTTATTAGGCCCTGTTAAAACGTCATATTTCACATGTGCCGAACCTACTTTAAATGGGCCGGAACAATAGATTTTCCCCATTGGCCGGCTAAATTTAACACATAAGAAAACGTGACGTTTAAACCGGGCCTAAAACAATGTACATGTAGCAATATTTACACAAAGGACCATTCCGTTGAACTTGAAAGTTTTTAATATTGTTAAGTAAGTCTAAAGCATCTTGCTTTTTCGGCTGTTTTTTCATACACCTTTCTTAAGTTCTAGTTCTGAAGTCGAAATAAATTGACGCCTTTAATCAAATTCTATTTCGAGACATAACTACAATGCCTTACTGATCAGCTTGATCAGGCGAAGTTCTCCAGTATATTTGACCTTTATACACGTACTCACATTAAGTACTCACATTCTTATCTTTATTACCAAAACTGTTTTGTAAGTAACACAATTATTTGATATGAGCGTAAAGAATTGAAAAACAAGGTTTGTGACATCACATGATTTCACAAATTCTCCTTTTCGAATTTTGAGGCAGCCATCTTGAGCCCGCTGTTGCCCAGTTAACGATGAAGTTAGCAATTATTACAACGATTTCTTTTGCCAAACCATCTTTAACCACGTTTTTTTTTTAAAATAAAACTAATAAAACGGACGACTTAAAGAAGAGAAATCATACCATCGAGAAAGTGTTTGTCATTGAAACGTCAATCACGATCACATGTAACAATTGAATGATATATTAATTGCTTCCACATAAATTTCAGAAAAGCCCTGAAATTTGGCGGGTTGTTGTTTAGGCGGCTCAAAAATTTAAATATGCAAAGTGAGAGCGGACACTTTTGCCTTACCCCAGACTAAACTCTCGATTTATGGTGCTGAGAAAGATTTTTGCTTTGGAAGGGAAATTTAGCTTGTTTTACAAAGGATATTATTCATTTTGCAGCACATTAATACAAGCGAATTCCGCATTTGTCATAAAGAGTTGTACGCTGACCAGCATGATCCTGTAAATGTATCGTATGCTATACTTGCAGGTGGGTTTGGCGGCAAAATTTAGCTTGTTTTACAAAGGATATTATTTATTTTACAGCACATCAATACAAGCGAATTCCGCATTTGTCTCAAAGAGTTGTACGCTGACCAGCATGATCCACGGTTTGGCGGCAAACACCCCTCCCCCTTTATAGCGACATTAAGCGTTAAAGTTACCATACAATGCACGTCTGTCTATTTTTCTTTTGTTTTTAGAAGTTCAACTATGCTGATATTTTCCAAGACTGAAGGCTTATATAATTTGTACTTTCTAATACATACCCTTGTTTATTGTTATTTGGTTTGTTCCTGCAGATGTATGTAAACCCGGTTGGTCTTATTTTGGTGGCACATGCTACTCAACCAGTCAAACATGTAAGAACTGGACTGAAGCCCAGAAAACATGCCAATCATACAGTGCTAATCTCATTAGTGTACGAAACCAAGAAGAAAACGTCTATATTCAACATAGGATGAATGGCGCTAAGGGCTGGATTGGACTAAGCGATAGTGACACAGAGGGAACTTTTGTCTGGGCAGATAATCAACCCAATAACTTCACATACTGGGCTAAGAACCAACCCAACAACTTGAACAATGAAGATTGCGTTCACACTTTGGGAGTCAGACATAGCTTTATGTGGAATGATGTGAGCTGCGACACCTGCCATAACTACACCTGTTCAGAAGGTATCTAGGAGCCTTTGTAAGTTCTCGTATAAGCCTTTAGTATACGTTTTAACACCGAAGGATTACCAGAACGTCTTGTCCTTGTAGGCTGGTAAAAAGAATGGTACGTTACATTACATGACATCGTCTTCACATGCCAAGCAGGGACATTTTTACTTTAGAAACTATTTTGATTTTATGAGCTGTAGTAACATTCAAGATGACCTCTATTTTGAGTGAAAACAATCTTTACATCTCTAGAGTGATTGATTGATGATTGCCCAATATGTCGAACGATTGGATGATCCACTGTTCTATTTACCGCTGGATTGATTAGTTGGTTGGCGGGTGCATAATTTTTTGTATGTGGTTTTGTCTCTTTAAAGCAATCGATTGATAACTTTTTAATTCTTTTAAACTAAGATCTTGATGAATGTGGAGGGAATAATCACCATTGTCACCATAATGCCGTCTGTACAAACACAATCGGCTCCTATAAATGCCAGTGCTCGATAGGATATACCGGTGATGGCTTAGTGTGTGCAGGTAATAATCCATAATTTTATTTCCCTTCCAAAATATAAACTAGAAGTGCTTTTTTACCGCAATACTAGCAGAGCTGGAATATCATATTGGTGTAATAGCAAAACACCATGAGCCTCCAAATTATTTATTAAATCTTTATTTCAGTATTCATCAAGAAAAATCCGAATTCAATAACTGTTTTTATTCATCAAAACACTACGGAGCTCATAACAGATGTTCTTCACAGAGCAGTTGCCATCCTTCGACTTTTCATTCTACGATTTCACGATTGATGTCAATCATTTAACAAATAGATTATATATTGCCGTTCGTCTGTTCAGTAATAGATCAAAGATAACTTCAAAAAATGTTAAAAACAAAGAAGTGGCAAAGTCCCAAACGCTACTTTTAGTCTCTTTTTCTTGCTTTTTTTTTTCTTTATCTTACTTGAAACCAGTTTCTTCGAAAAGTTTTTTTCTCAAATTGTCAAGAACTCTTTTTGTCTCCGTTTTTCCATTTTTCTTCTTTGTAAATAGCTCCTGGTAAACTCGAGGCTTTCACTTGCTTAATCCGAAATAATCTCACAAACGTTTTCAAAACCGCCCGCCATGCTGAACAAAGCAAAGAAAACAAATTTCCCGTGGCGTTATTCATGTATCTGTACTCTAACAGATCAAGGGCGATGGACCAATCACAGCGCGCGTAGGTTTCACATCATTGTCATTGTATAAAAAGTGATAGTAAACATTTTCCAAATTTTGACAACCGGCTGGTTGGTGAAGAAGAATGCGTGGGTGGGTTCAAGCCAAGCAGAAAAAGAGAAATTTTTAATGAATATCAATTGAAGTCAAAAGAATATCACCTTTCTCCCTTATGAAGTGGTGTTTGTTAGTTAACGTTGGAGTATGAGTTCTTATATTGTGTTCTTGTTAAAAGTTTTTCTTTCCCTGGCTCTTAAGATGTAGACGAGTGTTCTGCAGGACATCAGTGTGACAGCAGTGCGACTTGTAATAATACAGATGGGTCTTACACATGCACCTGTGACAGTGGCTACTCAGGAGATGGACGAACCTGCTATGGTAAATAAACTACTTGATCAAATGCACAGGTTTCACAAAAAATCTTTCACAAAAGTAGGTACACGAATTTTGGCCCTTTAATCTATTTTTTTTTTTCGTTTCAGAGCTATCCATACTAAAAGTAATGATATTAAAAAGCGTTCAACTTTAATTTCCCCAGCCAGTTTTCTTACGTAAATCTCCCAAGTTCAGCACATGCACGAACTCTTGCTCCCCTATGATACACCCGAAGCAAATCGTTTTAATTCTTAGAATACTAGAAAATGCAATTTAAACGGGAAAAACAAATAAAGAAAAGAAAAAAGCCACAAGCGCTTGTTTGAAAGTTTATCGAAAAAAGACATGAAAATACATGAAACTAAAATACCTTGACCAGCTACGAAAGAAGGCATGTGTTGTTTCTTCATGATCGCGAAGCCAATCGCCGAGTCACTCGCCGATAGATAACTGCAGCCTGTTCATAGGACATGAAGAATATAAAACACAAGCAACCAGCTACAAAAACGGGCTATGCAGCCATTCACTACAGCAATCTAGGCGTTAGCTGGTGGCTTCAAACAACTTCATAACAAGCTACCGAGGTAAAAGTTTTTCTCCAATGTTCTTACTTTTGTAACTGCACCAAAAATCCAAATTCACAGTAATTTTGACGGCTGCACTTAAAAATTATTTTTCTTCACAGTAACTGCGAGGGTTTTTTTAGCTGTCCTGCTGTGTAAAATCCTAGAATCCCGAATGAGTTTTTCAAAGTGTTTATCGCTATAGTGTTTTGATTTTTCATTCATCCAGTCCGTTCGCGCGTTGACGGTCAGTTTTGATAGACGTGTGACATGTGAATAGCGGACGTCCCTTGTCTTTTCCGGTTTGTTCTAACAAAACTAAAGGTGGTGTTACACAGGACGATTCGCAACGACGATTTTAAGCGCAACACGCGCGCGGCTTTGCAACATTGTCTCGACTTTGTTTCAAATAGTTGCAACATCGTTCCAACATTGCGTTACATTAAGTCGGGGAGATTCATCGAGATTTTGTGGGTGTTTTTAATAGAAGAATTATTCCACTCGCGCTTGCTGGATATGAGATGATTATTGCCTACTCGGCGCTACGCGCCTTGTTGGCTAGCTACCATCTCATATCCAACGCGCTCTCGTGGAATAATTATTAAATATGACTTGCATTCCAATCGCTTTTAAATAAGAAAACAGAATAATTATGATAAAGAAGGGAACTCTCAATACAGGCTGATTCAATGAGCATACACTGTAAGTGAAAGTATTACAAGCACACGCGTTTTATCGTCGTAATATGACAATTGCACGATGACGTCATTTTACTACAACTACCAGAATCCTTCAGTTCTGACTCGTTCTGACCTCTTTTCCTCTTTTTTCTTTACTATCTATCCTGGAACTAGTTCATTAAGAAATTGTAATTGTCTTTAATTTCAGACGTGGATGAATGCTCACTCAACACTCATGACTGCGACGCAAATGCAATTTGCACTAACACAGTAGGAGCATTTACTTGCAAGTGCGACGTAAACGCGCATTACATTGGCGACGGAAAGACTTGTACTTCCCACCGTAAGCCAACCTATTTTAATTAGATAATTAAACAAGTACTAACCAAAGGTGCGGGTGACAACGATCGAAGGTCTAAACGCTTTTGCCCAAACGCTTTGCTTTGCGTAAGTTTCACGCGATAGATAGTCAAAACACGCGTGATTAAATTACGAGTGATAGAGTGTCCAAACGCGCGTGATCAGACTGTGTTCCATTCATAATCTTAGTGTAAGTCCAAATGCCGCCGTAATAGAAACCTGGAGATTAGGATTTGCGGGCTCCTCTTGACGCCCGCAACAATTTATCTGTTTATAGATCTGCTCTTTTTTAGGTTTTTATCACGGCTGGCTAGTCCACTTTGTTTATAGCTGTCAATGACGCGTCCTTTTTCGCCATAGCACTTGAAAATAGAAAATGTTTGTAAAAGACAAAATAACTGCTTTGAACTTTGAAAAACTGTTAAGCTAACAAGTTTTCGAAAACCACAGTTTGTATCTGTTTCATTCTTCAGGTTTGTCTATCCGATCCCCCTTTGTGTTCTCTGTGTTATTTATACCTTTTGAGCGATTATTTTTTTATGTTTCACTCAATTTAGTGGGAGTTCCCATTGCTTTGTTTGAATTTTGATAATAGTTTTGTCCCTGATTTCATAGTAAGTTCCAGTGAGTTTTGGAGAGCTTCGGCAGTCAATACGCGCGCTTTAGTGGCCTTTGCTGTTTTGGAGAGGTAGCAAAGATGCGGTGTTTGCCAATATACAGTTGTTAGATCATTGTCAGGTCTTTCTTTCTCTGTTTTTAGCACTTGTTTGATCAAAAAACAGCAAAACCTTAAAGCAACTAAAGGACAGATTTTGGTTTGCTTTTCTTTCAGGTGGCCTCGGTAACTCAGTCATTTTATCGAATGACGTCGGCAAGATATCACAATTGAATACCTGGCTTCTTCCCCATTTGCAAAGTTCAGTCAGAAGTTACTGGAAACTGTGTTATAGAGCCACTAGTCACGGTTGGAGCTCGCAGACCTTTCACAGTTATTGTGATAACAAGGGACCCACTGTAACCATTGTAAGAGTTGGAAGCTATATATTTGGGGGTTACAACGACAATTCGTGGCAATGTAAGTCTGCTAAACTAAAACGACACTAAGAGGGGTGTTACTGTTTGAAATTATGGCCATTAAACCCCGAGTGTGTAAGGGGTGATGAGTAGGGCTGGTGCAATCTTCCCCAATACCGTGAGCAAGACACAATGACGCTCCGATTGGTTAAAAACCATGCGTTTAACCTAGAGCGAGTAAGAAAGGGTAGTGGCATCCTCCTTTCTTCTGCAACAGCTAACATCATTCATTTTTTTAAATAATGGTTTTATAGTACTTTTTTTTCAGTAATTGATTGTTTTTATGGCCTCATCTGATTAGTGGTAAAGGGAAAGTTTTTTTAGTATATTGTTGCGCTTGTTTGCGCAACAAAAAGCGGCTAACTAATTCAATGATTAACGCACACCCGGATGTGTTCTAGGTCTCATATAATTCTCGGGTAAATTCAATAAAAACTTTACAAGGGTAATTAATTATATTATATTAAATTCAAATTTAATATAACAATGTTGTAAAGCGCAACCGAATATATTCATATAGAGATTTGCGCTCTATAAATGTAAATTATTATTATGGCAGCAAAAACGTCTGGATGCCCAGAGTAAAAAATTAAAGCTTTGGCTGGGCGGCAAACCGTAACCAGCCGAAGCATTGACTAAAATTTGTAGTAACGATTACACAATAATTTGCGCAAAAAAAAATAAACAAATGAATAAACTGGGTAGAAATGATTTGATAAAAGTGTCATTAAAAAAAATTAAAACAATAAAAAAATCCTACAAGCTTTATGGACGTCTCAATTATAAAATAAAAATGTTCATAAGTTAAAAATCATCGTTCATATTGCTGTCCATTAAATAATGAGAGCGTCTAAGGTATGTCAATACCTTATTATAGGAAATTAACGCTCCATGAAATTAACGCGAATCGTTAAAATTCGCGTTAATTTAAGTCGCGTTCATTTTGTTGAGCGTTAATTTCCGCGACATTAATTAAGTGCAGCGTTAATTTCCGCGCTCTTAATTTCCAGTATTTTAACCCCAATTTTGGAACCTGTCCAGACATTCTTGACACCTAAAATACATTAACTACAAGCTTTCTTTCTTTCCGTTTACCCTTTATTTTCATCTTTCACAAAAGGTAAGGCGAAGGTTTCCAATATTTCGAGTTCATCTTCATCGTTGTCGCTGTCAGAGGTGATGTCAATGTCTTCTCCCTTGACCAACTGTGTCTTAGTCGCGTTAATTTCCTTTATTATGAAATTCTGCCTTCTCTTTCGCGTTAATTTTCTTTATTCGAAAGTCGTTTGCCATTAAATTCGCGTTAATTTAAGTCGCGTTAATTTCCAATACCTTAATTTCATGGAGCGTTAATTTCCTATAATAAGGTAAAATTTCGAAAATGTACAAGAGTAAGTATCTGTTAAAATAGGCGTCCAAAATTCCTATAGATATCTAACTGCTCAGCTTATTATTATGTCGCAGTATGAAAGTTTGGAATGCTGTCCACATTGAGTAGTATAAGGCGCATAGCGTAACCTACACCACTTGAGAAGCTATACTTAGAAGTAAAAAAAGGTCGGTACGAAACCTAATATACATAATGATATGAACCTCTCTGCCAATTTAAAATATTATTAAGTTCTTATACTCTGTAAAACTCTAATGCTCTTAAAAAAAATCTCAGTAAAAACATCAGCAAGCTTGTGTTTCTAGATTTCTAGAGAAAAAACAAAAACCTAAAAACTGGAGTCCTTAGCGCCCCGACTAAGTATTTATCTTAAATGTTCTGGCAATGTTTAAAGTGTTTGAGATGATCGACTTCTGCATCCGCTCAAGTACGCTCCGTGCTCTCGCTCCAAGTAGCTTCCTCACCGACTTCTCTAGGTGTTTAGAGTAACCACCCAGTACGTCAATTATTACGTTGTACTCTTCAACCCTGTAACCATTGTATCTCTGCTTCAGCTCCCACATCATGGGCCCATACTTGAGTGTCTTTTCCTCATCTTTCTTAGCTCTACTCTCAATCCATGGGCAACTCATTTCAATTGTGCAGACTTCTTTCCTCTCGTGGCTGACAAGTCGCGCGTCGATCCGATTTGTTCTAACTTCGTTGTGCTCTGCATAGATGAGAATATCCCAAAACGCCTCACTCGTGGTGTTCTGGTAGGCTGGTTTTGGCATCACCGGTGAGTACCATGGTGGAGCCTCTTCTATTAACCCATGCTCTCGCAGGAGCTCAAAAAACAGAATTTTGAAAGCTGCATTATGCCTGTATAGGTACTTGGTTTGGGCCAGGGAGGAACATCCAGCCAAAACATGTGCAACGCTCTCAGCTACCTTCCCACATAATCTGCATAGGACTTCGCTGTCGTTGGAGGTTTGCGTCTTCTCCTTTGTGTAGAGCTTCGTAGGTAACAACTGCTCATACAATTCATACATGCCCGCGATGGTATGTGTAGGGCATGTAGCCCAACCTTTTAACCATACAAAGCAGCTGGTTATGCTTAGCCTCTCATCTTCCCATCTGATACGGAATAACTTTCCTCGGCACTTTTTGTCCTTAGCGATCTCCAAGAACTGCTTCTCTTGAGATTGCTTCAACAGATTCCCATCTCTTGCTGCAGTTACCACCTTTCCTTCAGTTGTAACACACACGGGATTTAGGGTATCAAGCTGAAGTGTAATGTTGAGTTCTTCAGCGTACTTAGCTGCTTCCTTTACGAGCGACTGGTGGCCTGATGCCATGGCGTGTTCTTCAAATTCTCTAACTGCTTCCACAGTCTGGTCCGAGTTCTGATACAATTTCAGTAGCGATTTGATTTTAGTGAACGTGTACTCGTGTTCGTCTGATCGCAGGCCTCTACCCCCTTTCTCGCTCGGTAGTTATAACAAAGAAGCTAGCTGGGTGCTTGCCACCGTTCTCAACTATGATCTTCCGAGCTGCTCTGTCCACATCTCTCAACTCTGATAGAGGCTAATGCTGTGTCCACATTAAGTACCGTAGGACCGGGAGTGCATACTGATTAGTTGCCTTTACACGGTTACAATCAGACAGGGGGCTGGACCATACAATAGATATCCTGCGTAGACACTCTTTAGCCGCACACGCTAGGGCCAGCCGTTTATCTTGTCGAACGTTCTCTAGCACCCCCAGGAATTTGTAGAGTTTTCCTTCCCCAAGAGCCGTGATGGTAGTTGTCTCGTCCATCCTCATACCAGACTCGTCTAGCACTTGGGCTCCCCTCTTCACGTGTACCACTGAGCACTTTTTCTGATTCCAGTGGAGGCCGATGTCCTGCATCGCTCCTCTAGTCTCTTTCAGCACTCGGTTCAGCTTGCTCTCGGAGGCAGCAAAAACCTTCAGGTCGTCGATATACAGGAGATCGGTGACTTTGACTCCTATAGGCTTGGATAACCGGTATCCCTCTTTTGCCCGCAGGCGCCACACTACTGGGTTCAGGCACAGTGTAAACAGTCTAGGACACAAAGCGTCCCCCTGGGGTAGTCCCTTCATGAACCTTATTTTTCTAGAAGTCTCTCGCCCTTGCCCTGTTGTAGCTACTACTACTATTATTATTATGTCGCAGTATGAAACCTTGGAATGCTGTCCACATTATAAGCAGTATAAGGCGCATAGCGTAACCTACACCACTTGAGAAGCTATACTTAGAAGTAAAAAAAGGTCGATACGAAACCTAATACGATCCTAAAATATATAGTGATATAAATCTCTCTACTTAAAAAGCCAATTTAGAATATTATTAAATTCTGATACGCTGTAAAACCTTCGCTATCTCTACTAAAAGCTTATTTATAATAATATCAAACTCTAATGTTCTAAAAAATCTAAGTAAAAAATTATTATTATTATTATTATTATTATTATTATTATTATTATTATTATTATGTAAAATTTAGCACAGGGATTTTCCCTGGGGAGAAATATCAAGTCAAGTCTCATCCCGAGACCTCAGCCTTCCAGCACCTTTCTGAGGATATGTGCCGATCCGAGGAGTGCCGACTTTTGCATCGTTCTTGTTCGGTTTTTAATTCCTAGTTGCTCCAAGTGGCCTGCCAGCTTCTTTGACACTGAACCCAATGCACCTACAACCACTGGCACCACTTTTGTCCTTGATTTCCAGATCCTTTGAATCTCTCTTGCCAGGTCTTGGTACTTTTCACACTTTTCAGTTTCTTTCTGCAGTATATTACTATCTCCGGGAACAGCTATGTCCACAATGATTGTTTCCTTTGCCTTCTTTTTCTGAATTACAATGTCTGGCCTCCTGTGATGGATTTCACGGTCTGTTTGGATGATAAAGTCCCACAACAGTTTAACCTCCTCATTCTCTTCTACGCTTTTGGGGGAATGCTCATACCATTTGTCACTGCACTCAACTCCATATTCCTTGCACACCTCCCAATGAATGACCCGCCCAACAACATCATGCCTCTTTTTATAATCTGTCTGCGCAAGCTTGGGGCAACTACACAAAATATGCTGCACAGTTTCATCGTGGCTACCACACATTCTGCATTTGGATGATACATTTTGGTTTTCGATTCTGGCTTTTACGGCGCCTGATCTTGCGCGGCAAGTTCACCAGTTCTTATCCACTCCCAAGCGACACCAGATAGGTCATCTGTCTCTTTCTTGAACTGCCCATGCAGCTGCTTTCCAGACCAGTCCTCAGTTCTTTTCCTCTTCATCTTTTCCTTATATTCCTTTGGCGTTTCAATTTCATTGACATTCTTCCTCTTCCATGCAGCTTTCAACAACCGTTCCTGGCTCTGGCAGACGTAGACATTGATATTTCTTTCTTCAATATTAATGGCATCCTCAACACTAATAAGTCCACGCCCTCCTTCTCTTCTTGGTAGGTACAAGCGGCTTACATTGGACCTGGGGTGAAGAGCGCCATGGATGGTTAATAGTTTCCTGGTCTTACGATCCAATTCAGCAAGCTCACTCTTTGTCCAATTTACAATCCCCCCACTGTACCGAAGTAGAAATACAGCCCAGCTGTTAATAGCCTTTATGACATTACCAGCATTTAGCTTTGAGGACAAAGTTTTCTTCACTCTCCTAATGTGCTCCTTCTTCATCCTTCTCTTCACTTCGTCATGCATAATGTCATCGGCCTCTAACACCCCCAGATATTTATAACCTTCAACATCATCTCCAATACCTCGGATAATTCTTCCATCAGGCAATCTTATGCCCTCTGACTTATCCCGCTTACCTCTTTTCATTACCATCGTTGCGCACTTCTCGATTCCAAAATCCATACCAATGTCACTGCTGAACACCCGGACAGTATGTACAAGTGATTATTATTATTATTTAAATTATTATTATTATTATTATCATTATCATTATCATTATCATTATTATTATTATTATTATTATTATTATTATTATTATTATTAGTATTATTATTATTATTATTATTATTATTATTATTATTATTCGAAGTGAGGCTTTTCTTTCGAAACTCGAGGGACCGATTACTTAACCTTGGACCGTGTCTAAATACCGACAAAAGAACGATAAAACGTTAAACCTGCTGACAGGTGTGCTTTTATGATCATTATTTTGAAATGACCTGAAATAGACGGACTACTGCGCAACAGAGAATTGAGAGAGTTAAGAGAAAAAGAGACTACGCCAATCGACGTAAAATACATGTTCAACAAATTACACACCCTACGGACATATTTTACCCTTTTTGAGGAATACGATGAAGAAGATTTCCAATTGCGTTTTCGCCTTTTTCAATAATGATCTTTCAACATTATACAAGGAGGGGTCTGCTGTTAACTTCGATGCAGTAAGTTCTAATTGCCTTCAGATTTTATACAACAAGTTTCAAGCAGGTTATTGGCGATTTATTTGGTGTTTCTGTATTCATTCTGCTGCACGCACGGTCATTTACAAGGTTTCAAGGGCTATCGCGAAACGAAAAGAACCTTTTTTTTTTTGCATTCCCTAAGGAAATTTTGCTACCAAGAGAGCGTTTTATTAGAAAGTGTCATTGGGAGGTGCATTTCAGGTTCTCGTTTTTAACGGCGTAGGTTGCTCATTTAACTGCAAGGATCAATTTCCCTTTCGTATATTTATCCACAAATCAAAATTTTGAGTCATTTCGTGTACTTTTATTCTGTTTTAACTGAATTGCTCAACAGAACCCTACAAATTAATTTCAAGCAGAGAACGTATATCATAATTCAAAAAAACGAAGTGGATATAACTCGATTTCATACCATCTAGAGACTGTACTAAAAATGACACAGCTTTTACGGAAACTTTTAGTAAATATGCACCTAACGTGTCTTGGCACTAAAAGACGTGTTGATGTTTTGCTTGGAATTTTAATGTTCTTTGTCTCTTTTCAGGGTCTTATGGGTATCAGTCCTCGACCAACACTTTCATTTACTCGCTGAAAAACTATTACGGGTATGGATACTTTAAAAATGATGTAAACGGCCACTATTACTATGCCACATACAGTCACTATAACTATTTTCCAACCTTTGGTGGAGGGCATGATATCTACATTGCAGACAACGCAGGATACAATTATAACTCTTTCTTTAATTGTGGCTGCCATTCGTATACAAGTCCCTATTCCTATTGTTCCTGTAATATGTGGACTGGAAGCAATAACTTCTGCCCAGATGAGTTAGAGGTATTCTATGAAGTGCTTGCATAATTCCACCGAGAATATTAATACGACCGAAAACCAACAAGCTCTTTTTTTTATTTTATGGGTGAAAAGATACTGATTGTCTTAATGCTCGCCTTTTGATAGATTATTTTCACTTTATCTTTACAATCCTTCATAGTAAGGGTGCGTTCAATTGACTCCATTTCGGAAAAAAGAGGAATATTGATTTTAGTGTAGAAATCCTTTGTTTAGGAATTACTTGCTCTTAGGACAACGAAGGAAAGCTGTAAAGAGGAGGTGAATGGTATGTTTTCAGGTTTATTTCCTGGTAAATTCACCATCAGATTAATCGTGCCAACAACTGAAGTAAATTAAGGCATGGGTCAACAGCCAAATTCCCGTAAAAATGAAGGTGATGGTCTATAATATGATCTCTTTATTATGAAGCAAAACATACCAAAAAATATTTCAAACCATAAAAAATTATAATTCACTGCACACAATTACTATGCAAATTAGGTCACACATGTACAAGAAAATACAGAATATAAGCCGCTACAAAACTGCGCTTGGTAACTTTGAAATATTTAGTTTATTCTGAAAATAAACGGGTTTTCTGACTAGTACCCAGTCTCTCAATACAAGTGTATCATAATAACATGCCTTTCCTTTAAATAATCTTGACATTGCCAAGCGCGGAAATGACATGCCTAACGGCCTTAAAATCATGAAACTAGTAGAAAAATTAAGGAAACAAGAGAAAGTGAGGCCATTTTAGTTAAAAGCTTTTCTGGGCGTGGCGAGTCATGTGACCTCATTTTCCTATTTGGTGCAGGCCAAATAACAAAAACTAGCAGTGTATGGGTCTCACAAGTTTTCGACCCGCTACTGCCACTGCTAATGCATTGAAAATTAGACCACCCCCTCACTTTTCGACTTAATAACTGGGGCGCCTTGAGAACACATATGCATCGGAGGGAGTAGGGATTGAACCTTTAAAAGGCAGTTGCACGACAAACGCGAGCCGAAATTATGCATAGACTACAGCAAAGAAGAAAACAGAGTAAGAATCTACAAACCTCATCGGCTGAATTTGTCTTAGTAAGCCTATTGAAAGTTACACGCTACATGTATAAAAAACAGAACGCAAACTGAAAGCTTCTTCAAGAGCTATATGAGGTAGTTCAGGTACGTGGAAATACGAAAAATTAACAAATTCCAAATTAATGACAGAGCGAAAAGAAAATTATTAGTGTAGTGCATAACCTAACAAGCGTGCCTTGTATAGGCCAACAACCTCTGTGTTAAAACCCTGTTTTGTGTAATGGGCAAAATACACACCCTTCTGTTTCTTTACGACTAATTAGACCCAGTTTAGGATAGGCTCGCATTAAATTGTATATTAACCTGTTCAAGACAGGGGAAGCAAAACTCTCCAGCGGCACGTCCCTGTACAGGTCAAACAAGTAAATCCCCATCCGGGCTCCAGGCTAATTATACCTGAGTAACATTCTAATAACCTCCAAATCCCGACAAAAGGCATATAAAGCAGTTTTCTGGAGTTTTATTCTGGAATATGGTCAATCGAACGTTCCCTAAAGTTCCGGATTCAGGCATTTATTTTTTGCAATTCTTTATCGTTTTCTGCATGACTGTAATTTATATTGCTTAGTTGTAATTACATGTAGTTCTATCAGGGTTTACGCATTAGGGCCTCTGTCGACAACAGGCGTTTAAGATTCTTAGAGGGCAAACCTCGGTTTTAAATTAGATATTAGACACCTTAATTAAGATCGAGTTTTGGTCATTTTACTGTAAACTGCGGTTAACGGTTTCCCGTTACCCGTCTGTCCATATTTGGGATTTAAGATTCACGGGTGGTAACTCGAGGCTGCCATGTTTGTTTTCATTCATTCACTTACTTCTATTTTAGGTGAAAAATTGACTTCAAAATTACGTTTTTTAATTAATAGAATTCGATAATCAATAAGCAACAGTTCTAAAAAGTCGTCTTTCTTCTCAAACGTGGGATTGTGATGTTTTAGGGTGGAAAAAACCTTGCGGTAAATCACGGTAAACAGGTATGCGGTAAACGCATACCTGATGGCAAAGCCCGGGTCACGTGACTTCTTGACTTTCGCGATTCGCGGGAAATGCCGAAAAAACTCAATTTTAAGGTTTCTATTGGTATTATTTTCAGGCTACGTTTCGACACTGCTTGTAGGGGTCAAAAAAGTTAAGAATACATTATAAATTTCGCTGCATATGGTTTTGCTATTTGATAATCTCTCTTATTGACTAGAAAAATCCCTTATTAGAATTTTTTGTTCCGAAAGAAAAAGTGAAATGGAAAAGAAACTTTTGATCTTTTCAAAATCATTCTAACATGTTTAACTTAATAGTTCAAAAACGAACTTGAGTGTTTTGTGGGTTTCCAGACAAGAGAAAAACAGAGGCCGAGCGCGTTTATTTTTTTTTAATTTAAAGTCTATGGAAGCCAGTGAAACCTTAAGCACGCGTTTGTGAAATAACTTCTCCAACAAATAAATTGTGCGGTAATAATATATTAAAATAAATAGTTGGCTGGGATTTTTGGACTTTGAAATTCTTTAAAGAAAAATGCTTGGACCTCTGGTGGCCTCAACTAAAAAAAGGAGGGCGGTCCTAAAAAGAATCGGTAACTCTTGCAGAGTCATCGTATAATCGGTTAGTTTAGTTGTATTTGTGGTACGTATTCTTTTCCAGTTTAGAGGTTTTAAAATTTTCGTCGTTTACTAGTTGTCGCGATGAAAGTTACTGGTGTTACACTTACTTCGTAATAACAATGTATTAAAAGTTTTTAATCTTAAACTGAGATGCTGTGTTACCTACTTAATAGATCAGATATGCAGATTAAGAAACAACTAACATTATGCTCTGACACACGTTTAAAATCCCTTCCAAACACGTGTGGTTTCAATTCGTTGTTCACTGGGCTTCTTGTTATGGACTCATCCACAGGACCATGATAGACAGTCCTAGCTCAGGCTATTATTAAGAAAATGAATAATTTTAAGTATTACTCTGAAAGTAATAAAAATTAGTTTGAGAAAAGCCAACGTTTCGTTGCACAACTGACTGGTTTCTATGCGTCGAAAAGAAGGGGCTGTTTTCTTGCCATAACCAGTGTGAAGTCCTAATTGAATTATTCTTCCATGTCACTGTATCATGGATGGAATTGCATCGATTTGAGTAGTTCCTCGCTGGTATTAAATGATGAAAAAACTCTTTCAACGAGATGTTAAGAATGATGGTGATTATCACTTTATTAATAAGATGATGATGATGATGATGGTGGTGGTGGCGGTGGTGGTAGTAGTGATGTTGATGATAATGTTGAGGTTGCTTGGCAACTATAGGTTCCTTTTCTCTGAAAATCTGCACTTTAAGTCTAAAGGGAAATGCGACTTCTCAAGATTAAAGTGTTGGGTTTCTACTGCAGTCTGCTTAAATCTCCCAAAGAAAATTTTTGATAGGTTACGTCGGCTGCTCACTTAAGAAATCCTTAGTGCGAATAAATGTATAAGAAAAAATATACCTTGTGATCCAAAGACAACATTAAATCGACTTTTTCCTTCTTGATCTCCGGATCAGCTTACTCGTCTTTCACTTCTTTGAGCGTGCCATTTAGCTCAAGTTCCCTTCAGTCTGTTCTTTGTCAGCCAGAAATACTTTCTTGCAAATGCGGGGAAATCAAATGGACAAATATCATTTAGCTCATCAAAAAGGTTAAAGAGAGTCATTACAGGCTTTGAAATGCACAACCCAGTGCGAATGTAATGACTTAAAACAAAGAGAAGGCGATAATGACTTTTCAAGTTACACAATACTCTTACGATACTCTCAATCATGGGTCATAATTCATGCAAATTGGCCGGGTAAATATAAAATTTTAAGAACCCAAAAAAGCCGCTTTTCATATTACCTTTATTCTTATTTGACATTATACATGCAAGCGTTCTGCAATTTTAACATCATTTTCAAGAGAAGATCAAATACTGCAGTAGTGTCTGACATTGTTGCTGTTCTTGAGCATCACGAAATGGTCGGGGCATTGATTGAAGCACACCTTGCAGTGGCGGATCCAGACCTTTATATAAGGGGGGGTGGGGTGGTCATCCAGACCCTGAGATAAGCCGGGGGCGGTCTTAAAAAAAAAGTTACTTCGGCCCTTCGGGCCTCAGTTGGGTCCAAAAATAAGGGGGGGGCTCCCCTGGATCCGCCACTGCCTTCTACATGATTTCACGATCGCCCCTAATTCGTCCAAAACTAAAATCTTTCCAAAAGAAATGGGGTGGAGGAAGGTCGGCTTTCGTGTACATATATGTTCATAAAATCATTTTTATTTGGTTATATAATAAACCAAAAGTTGTAATTGATTTATTGTGTTGATATATAATCGCGAAGGTGTTGCGAAATTAAGATATCAGGACTGAAAAAGAAATGTTCATAAATTTCTATCTCGTAACAATTCTGTTTTCTGAAGACACAAATGCTTAAGTCGACTTTGCCTTATGATTTTTGACTTCCATGTTTATTTAAATACATATAAACTGTACATTTTTCTCTGTAATCCCGTGAAATCAAAACAAAAAGCTGACTATTTTCTTTTGTTTGGCTCTGACGGCGGGATATAGCCACTAGCATCATCAAAAAAGACAATGCTACTCAGATTTTGTGAAAAAGCATCCAGAGCTTCGATAGGCCTCTTATGAAGCCAAGCGTTGAACGCTTCACTCGAGAATTCGAATCCACAACACCTGCGTCTTCCTTTTTCAGTTGAGTCGGGAATTCAAATGTGGTTGCCTGGCAACAACTCGAATAAGATTAATGTCCAGTGTGAATAGAACCCAGTGTGATAGTGGTCACGAGGGGAGAAAATCACCCACGTAAAGTCGAATCTGATTAAAATTGGACCTGCTATTCCGAAGACGGCGGCATCAGAAAATGCACCGACTTGAAAGACCATTTCTGCTGCATTATAAATAATATGCTCTTTTTTGACAATGCTTAAGGGTCCCGTGGAGGATGGAAAAGGCCAATGCATAACTTTAGTTTCTATAATTTCCTTACTGTCGTTAACAATCGTAGTCGGTCATGCACTGATGCTGATAATTTTGTGGAAAGATCCTTTCAAGCGGTTTCGAACACCACCTACGTTTTTGATTTGCGGAATGGTATTGGCCAACTTTACCAGTGGGCTAAGCGCCGGCCCTCTTTTTTGCTATTATGTCATTTCTTCATGTTCGGCACTGAGACCTCCGTATTTAGAACTGCTGTGGAACGCTGCCAGCTTTATGCTGTACTGGACAACAAGTGTGTCTTATTTTTCAATGCTCGGATTATCATTGTGCCAGTACGTTGGGGTAAAGATGCCTCACAAGCACTCTGGGTTAGTCACTAAAAAGACTACTGCTAGCTTCCTTGGAATTATTACTTTCATCTCATTTGTAAAACCGGGTCTGCTTCCTCTTGGTGTTTCCCCAATCATAGTGGAAAAACTACAACTGTAGGTAACGTTTCAGCTGAGTACGTTTATCCTCTGTGCCTTATATGCAGCTCTCGGCGTGGAATATTTACAGCAGGTTAAACGAGCTAGGGAAAGCAGCAACAACGCAGTCAAAGGAATGACCTGCGTTCGGGTTAGAGACAGAAATTTCACTAGAGCCAATCTAATGTTGCTCGCTTGTGTTACGCTTTTAAGCTTGCCGATAATGATAACGTGGCATTTATCAATGTACGGAGGAAAATTATTCTTTTCCAAAACAGGCCAAACGGCATCTGGAGCTGTAACAATCACCTTATTCATGATGAAAATAACTCTTGACCCCTTTATTTATTGCATGCGGCTTACAATATACCGCAAAGCGTTCAAACGCATTTTCAAGTGGAGAAATCGACAGGTTGCGAATTCCAGCTCCTCGTAAACAAGACGGAGTTACTGGAAAGACAGTCTATGGTCTTACAGACACTGAGTCCTTCAAGCAGGAGTTTACATAATTGTCCGAATAATGTTTACCAACATCAAGTTTAACTCCTTCAATGACACATAGACAGTTGAGTATTAACATCATCTTGGCATACATAACAGAAAAAAAAACTTGTTAAAAAGAAAGGGACGACATATTTCCAAAAATCGAAAGTATTAAACACGGAAACTCGAGTTGAGGATTTCCACTCATCCCCCGTGTAATGGATGCCTTCAGCTAATGGACAGTCTTCGTAAAAGTAATTGCAAGAAAACCCATAAGCCTGGCCTCCATTTTTAATATGCTTACCATTAACTAAAAGAGTTAAAATTGGACAAAATGCGTCAACGGAAACGAAATAAAAAATGAACAAATATATATCAAATGTAGTTTAAATCATATCGTACTTTGAGTTTGCGTGCCACATTGAATAAAGATCAATAAACGCAGTTGTTTAGACGAGCCGGACAAGAGCCGGATGTGTGGATTACAGTGATTTTCTTCTCGGTTTTGCATATTTTATGATTTTCTCACATGTACAAATTACTTCTTCAAATTTGTCATCGACAATTTATTGTCTCATGGTGGCGGTATTACGTTTACAACCTTTCTGGGATATGTCTAAGCAATGTCATAAAGATATTGATTCACACTTATATTGAAAGAATGCATGCTTTCATCAAGCTTGGTTTTATTTTACCTTATTGCCATTAAGATGAAATAAATTAACAGCGAGGAAAGAATTAGATTGAAATTTGCATATTAAATGCAGTTTCTTGCTGGAAAATTTGCGCGAATGGGCCGCGCGAATGTTTTTTCGCATTGACAACTGCCGAATGCTGAGAAAGAGGACTCGCAGTGATAAAAGATCTTAATTCTGTGGTCTAAGTCATTTGATAATTTTTAGCTTAATTAACGTACATTTAAAGCACTAAAAACAAGGGGACTTTCATTGCATTCTTAAATGATTTGGGAATTGTTAACTAAGCGATCGATATTTCAACCGAGCTATATCGACTGAAAAATTGCCATAAATAATACTTATAATGAAACCGAATGCCGGGAGCCGGTTACTTTCCTTTCAGTTACATCATTCAGAAAAGAGGAAAGTAAATATTTACCGTTAGAGAATTAAAAGCTGCCTGTGTTCTTGGGCAAATATACTGAATTGTAGGCCAAACTATAAGACAAATAGCGTTCCCGTCCTGCTGAGCATCCGAAACGATTTTCGACTCATCGGTAGTTCCTTCGTTTCTGGTTAGGAAAGCTTGGTGAACGAACCGGGCAACTGTGGCGAGATAACAGCCGTCGTGTACGAACTCACGAAAAGAACTCAGGAGATGCTGTTTGCCGATTGGGCACAATAATACAAAGCATTTTTTGTGCCCAATCAGGAACCAGCATTCTCTTGACCGTTTGGAAATGGCCCGGTGAGAGTCGGTACCCAGGGGCTCTTCCGCCCATGCTTGAAAACTTTCGTCGCGCCTTCTAACCCGGCCCGACTTACTGCTCCTGGGTCTCCGAGGATGCTGATCAGGGAGCGGGGTTCTTTCATAGAGCGGCTTTTCGGCCTTAACAAAATATGCCGCCTGCTGCGCATTTGCAGGCTTTTTGAAAAGAAAGAATGATTTCTTGAAGTCGATCATTTAAACTGTCCTCGTCATTTCCCTAATAAATTCTAAACCGAAACTTTATTGTCCACTAATATGTTGTGATGTCACATAAACGCATCCGTTATTTATTTATATATTTATTTACCAATTTTTTTTTTAATCTCATTCAGTGGCTTGTCAAGCTAGACGGGGGCTTATAACCGGACGTTTTTTTGTTTTTTTTTTTCATACAGGAGATGGGCCTATAAATGAGGGGGGGGGGGGGGGTCTTATAGTCGGAAGTTTATGGTATGCTTTCTCCGTGTCTTAAATGTGCGAAATTATGTCGGATGTTGTCATGGAAATGACAATGACATGGAAATATTGTTTTAGATATTAAAACTCGTATTTCACTTGAGGCTTAATTCCAATCCTTTCACTTTCAGGTCATTGCACCTAATTTACGCATGTTCACACTATAAAGCATAGCTTTTGCACCCGCACGAAAACCATACCGGGCTTCTGTTCACACATAAGAACGGTGATTTTGGCGCGATTTCTGTAACGGAGCGCAGCAGCGCCGCACCGATCTCGGAAGTGGAGCGACACATATCTGATAGGTTTTGTGCCACAGTCTGGTGTAGTGTGGGAAGGTATTTGGTCCGTAGCGGAAGTGAATAATTCGGAAAGAGGAATAGAAATCACTGAGACGGAAGTGAATACATTATTGGTACTTAATTTCTCGGGTACTTGAATTTGGCGAGGATTAATATTCGAGGGTCTTTGATTTCAAGATCTTTGTACAATCGCGAAAATCGCAAAATTTTACCAATAGAGCGTTTTAACCCACGTGGCCTGCGTCTATGCAAATTTATTGGAACAGAAGAAACCGTTTGCATAAGAAGAGAGTTCAGTTCCCACAGGATTGGCTTGGAACACTAACATGGCCGCCGTTTCATTGATTTAGGACCTCAATATGGCCGCCGTGACGTCATGTGAAAACACTCTATAAGGTATTCAGGAGTGAAGATTGTGATTTAGAGGACGAGACCCTCTCGGCCAACCGCTCCGTTACGATGTTCGATGTGTGTGAAGGACTTGTTCCAGTTCTGTGCCGTTGCTGTTCAAGCTATTCTTGATAGCTTTTCGTGCCGGCACGAAAAGCTCTCCTATGCGCATATTTGCCAGCTGAATATTCCTAATTTTTCGAAGATTGGTGTTACTATGGAAACGTATTGCTTGACCAGGAAATAACGCTCGCGTGCATTTATTTTCATTCACGAGACGAGGCAAATCCACTATTTTTACGGCCGAATCAGGCCACTTAGGAGACAAACAAAAAGTTCCAATCACTTCTTGAAGTGGTCAGCGGTTGTCATGCGGTTATGGCGATATTCCTCCTCTTTATAGGTTGTGTGTCACAACCTTATAAAATGTAATTTTAATATTGTATCTACTTAGCTCGTTTAGCTTTTTGCTATTCTCAGTGGCTTTTTTTGCCTTACCTATTTTAATGTATGCTATTCTTTGTAAACGTTTTTTAATTTGGCAAAAATAAAATGGATGGTTGTTGTTGTTGTAGTAACGGTAGGTGTTCGAAACTTCCGAGTAGGTGGACATTAAGTCCTCTGAACTCTAAAACCCTATCAGTTTGGCCTTAGCTCCGTTTGCAGTGAGACGTTTATTCTATCGCTTGAAAATTGCTTTCTAGAACTGTAATAGCAACTTACGTACTTTGTTAAGGAAAATTGACTTGAATTCAGTAGCATAGCTGTTTGTATTAAGAGGTGTACGTGTCAGTATGTTTTTAAGATAACAAACATCAACTTCCCTTTAATCACGTTTAAGCGGGAGAATGCGGAATCATGTACTCGAATGTCTTCCTTTTTTTCCAAGTCTGATAATTTTTAAGTGTCTTAATTTTGGCAACTGCAGAGCTTCCATGCATCGTTGTGTTGATTGAGGCTATTATTACTAATTTATTCTATGCTCTAAGACGTCGAAATTACGTGACCTGTATTTTCAGGACAGAAAATGTCCTTATTTTTAGCAAGACAATCTGTGATACCTAGTGTACCTGTTTACGATCATCTTTATTTAATGTCGCATGAATAGTTGTTTATTTCCAGAAAGTGGTCAGTCAACGGATACTAAATAAAAGGTTGCTTGAAGTTTATCCCCATGGACTACTGTAGTAAGTAGTTCTCTAACCCCAGCCAATCATTTTTCATAATGTCGACATTGCCAGCGGATTAAACGCTGAAACGCTCACATGGTCCGACGACCCTTTAACCCCGTTGCAGAGATAGGTGCTAAATAACTGGTGTAAGTCTTCCTCATTCCAAAACCGAGAAGGTTTAAATAGAGATGCCTAGTGTACATATCCGTATTTGCAACAGGGGAGCGGTAATATCAAATACACAGCAGTAAAGAATTATGGCAATGACGAGGAAGCTACTCTTTGCTTTCTTTGCCGCTCAAGTGCTTTATTTGCAGCTACATTTTACCAGTGGTAAGTTACTAATGACCATCGATTATTGTGCTGAATGAAATTACGAATTTCTGGTAATTTTCATGAAACAAGTGTAAGGTTTTTTCGGCAAATTTTATTGAGAGGGTTTCTAAGCAGATTACCGTCAAAATTGACTGCAATCTAAACAAATTTGGGGCACGTTTCATCGTTTTCTCTTTTTTTCAATTGCGAATGTGTAGAGTAACCACAATTAAAGTTTCTACATTGAAATTTGTTTATCCACCAAGATAATTTTTCATGCGCATCCCAGGAAGGGCAGGGGCAGCGACTGACGCAGGATATTTATGGGTGGAATCCCTCCAAGCAACCTGGGAAGTAGGAAGCTTCTCTCCCGTACTTCTTGAAAACTTTGTCGGCAATATTTTTACCCGTTGCACGTCCACATGTGCTTCCCCTGGGTTTCCGAAGACTTGCGTCAACAAAAACCTTAAATGCAGGATGACTCGTCTTGGATAAGCAAAAATATCAAGCTGACATTATACCGTCGGGGGCCCACCCTACAAGGAATTTATAGACGACGATCTCAGGCTTAAAGCATATTGTAAGAGACGTGAGGTCCGAACTCAACCTTAATGCTTTCAGGGAAGTAAACCTCTTATGGGATGTAATAGATCCAGGTGGATTAGACCTATCGATTCAAAAATGGTAAATTGATCTGGATGAGAAAGCAAAATATATAATTCCAAATAAAACGATCATTTTAGGGTGATGTGAAGAGGATTTAGCAAAATGGTGAACGGTAACTAAATATTCAAAAAATAAATGAACAAATTATTATTCTCCAAGGAATTAAGGAATCTATTTCCGCTAATATCTAATATGTAAAGGGTTTAACGATTAAGATTAAAGATTAACGATTAACATTTATTAATTCATTACAACAACAATAATAACAATAATCATCATTATTATTGGGCGATTCTCTCCAACTCTCTGGTGTTTTTCTTGGTCCTCTCATGCCTTAGCTTCTTCCCACAGCTTAGAGACACAGCACATTCCTCAGAATGTGAGCTGCCTTTCTGTCGTACTCGAACCAAACAATTTTCCGTTTTTTATCAAGGACCTAAATTTTACAACACCTTAAACACCAACATCATCAACGCTTCCTCACCTTTCTCCTTTAAAAGAGCACTTAAGGCATTTATTTGTAATAATTATTAGTATACTCCAACAAAAATCTTGGGAAAAAGCCTTTTAATATCCAACATTTGTAAACTTCCGTAATATTGATTAGTTTAATTTTCACCTCATATTATATTGTATCCGTCGCCATAATTTTTATGCCATCTTCGAAAAATTGTAATTGAGGAGGCCTAATTAACATAAGCTCTATAGTTTCTTTTAGGCCTCCTCGCCATCTCTTCCTACATTTTTTTTTTGGCATCTTTTTGTTGTAATCGTGTGGCAAATAAATAAAAATAAATAAATAAATCAAAGTACGAACGATGGCTGACAACTGTGTACTTCACAAAATGTCAGGCAGACTTAATCTTCCATACCAAGCCTTTGCATTGCTTTGCCTTCTCTTCCCATCTTTAAGAAACCATTCCCAAACCATCTACAGGTCTCCTCTCCAGCCACATCCGACGTTTTCCTAGCAAATTTTTCATGTGGAGCTTCCCGTTAGCTTCCCGTTCCAGTCGTGAAGATTCTGTTCTTCAACAAGCACCCTCTCCTTCAAAGCCATGCAGCATCCACTCGTGCTCAGTTAGCCATGCAAGGATTTGCTCTCCTTCCTTACACACTCTCAAAACCAATCAACCCTTTCTTTCCTCGGCAGATACAGTCTGGCAACATTACTTTTGGTGCATGTGTAAACAGGCTTTCACTGCCAATATCGTCCTAGTTTTTCTATCCATGCTGACCAGCCCTTCCAATATGCACTCCACGATACTTACACTGTAGCGTACTAAACCTACAGCCTAGGCATTGATGCACTAATAAGATCTCTGCCATTCAATTTGGATCTACCCAACCGTCTTAATTTCTCTTCAGATGTCTTCCGCTGTTACCTCGCCTTTCATCTGGTCTAATTGTAAAATACTAAGATATATGTAGCCCCTATACCCCCTTCCGCCCCATCTGGCAGGGCTATCATCATCATCATCATTATCATCATCATCATTATCATCATCATCATCATCATCATCATCATTATCATCATCATTATAATCGTTATTGTTATTGTCATTGTTATCGTTATCGTGTATATCATTATCATGGTTTTTTTATTTATTTATTTTTTTTTTACATTCAAGGGGCGGTCTTTCAAGCTGGGAAGGTAAATATTACCGACACTTCCCAAAACAACCATGGCTGCCAAGCCGTTTCTTTCGAAACTCAATTCCGGGGTTCGGGAGATGTAAAGGTGTTCGCGACGCTCAGTCACGGAAACAAATATGTTAAAATCCACGACCCAGCGTCTCTTTGGGTGAAGTCGGTGTCAACAACAGGTTTTGAAGCCTGCGTGCGCGAAGCAGGAAGTGGCTCTGGTGGAACGTCTGTGATCAACTGGCTTGCATTTCAAGGTTCGCATCAAGGCATACACTCAGGGATCGTGGAATTCAATGAATTCACGTCACGAACACAGTGCAAGAAGATATCGCTAAGCATTCAGAAACAGGTAACTTCGCAACGTCATCCAATTCATTCATTTAGTCTTCCATGTTAGTTTTAAAGTCAATACTCACGAAAAACTCATAACTCAACTTCGACAAAAATAACGAAAACGCGCGTGACTTCACATCAGTAAAATTATAAAAAAAAGGCCTTGTTTTGTAAATTGTTTAAATACTATGCCTGCAAAAAGCACCAAAAAATGTAATCGTTATAGTGCTCCATGATGAAAGTTGTTTGATATCTTCTTCATGGCTCTGCAGGAACATTTAATACATGAATAAATGGACAGAGTGATTACTTCAGCACAGAATTGCGAAGTGGCCTAAAGCAGCAATATCATCGTGGCATATCCCCTTTAACAAGAAAAGGGCTTAGCACTATATGAATCGTCCGTTTTTTTTCCTATGTTTTGTTTGCTGTTCAAGAATCTCCTCCTAATACTCTGGCAAATCGACGCATGCAAAACCGAGTAACTCTTCAAAGCCGAAATGAAGTCGATACTTGATTATTTTCGGAATCAACAATTGTTGTGAAGCTATAATGGCCATGAGCTTGTCATAACGTCAGTCCATAAAGTTAAGCGCTGTTAATCCGGTCCTCTTCGGGGCAGAGGACGATAATCATATTTAAGGTCAGTATGTACATGTACTTATTGGGTGATTTTTTCTCTTCTTTTAGATAAAACCTCAAGTGTTTGTAACCATTCAACATAAACATTCTAACCGTCCTTTTGATTCCATGAACATCTGGCTAGAAGAGGTCGAAGCAGACGGCTTCGTTGTTTGCTTGAGAGAGTTTATGAGTTTCGACGGCATCCATACCGGACTTAAAGTGGTGAGTTTTAAAAAATTAGCCCAGTCTTCGACTATTACGTTTTTCTTCGTCCTTACTTGTTATCAATTAAATTTAAAATTAAATCTGATTGTATGGAAGCTAATAAAAACCTGGTGGTTAGTTTGGCCTCCCCTTATAAATTACGTAAAAATGATATTAGAAGAATTATTGTTTTACCTAACCCATAAATGTTTTAAAACCGTAAAACTCTGAATTTGCTTTGCAAAGACAGCCTGACGAAAGGGGTGAAGGGGTGGACTGGAAGTGAAAAAGGGGGGAGGGGGGCGCTGATCAGGGAGCGGGGTTCTTTCAAAGAGCGGCTTTTCAGCCTTAACAAAATATCGCCCCTGCTGCGCATGTGCAGCAGGCGTTTTGAAAAGAAAGAAAGTTTTCTTGAAGTCGCACATATAAACTACCCTCGTCATTTCCCTAATACATTCTGAGATGAATCTTTAGGGTTCACTTTAGGGTTCACTTCAGCCCGGTGACGTTGGCTTTGAGGCCTCCTAACACTTTAATGTTGAATAAACTTAAAACCGTTCAAGCTAGGACCATCAAACTTGGCGATGCTCGCTGATTTTTTCTAGATTTACTACTAATGAATTATTATATCACACTTAATTTAGCATGATTTACGTAGCTGTTAATATGATCTAGGCTTTTTAGTGACTAGTTTGGAAACATTAATTGAATTTAAAATGGCCAACTAGCAGGAATAAATGGAATTAATTTAAATAATTCAAAATGGCAGATCCAAAAAGGCATATGGTCTCAATAAGAAATGACGTCATCATGTTGTCACTTCCATTGTTAAAGATGATCAAATTGTCAACCATCGTCATGATTTTTAAGTAATTTAATTATTTTTGCTTAATGGCTACAGGAACAATTGATAAGCTATGGGTTCAGACAATAAATGCAACAAGGCGATATTAGTTTCGTCAAATTACGTTATTGTGTCAATCACATTACTCCTACTTGTTGGAATGATGATTACACTATTTTGTGTAAATTTAGTGGCTGTATCATGAGTGGCTTAATGCTGTGACTGTTACTTGCGTCCCGTTTTTCAGAACTGGCTTGCTTATGATTTGCTACCTGAGGCTTGGAATTTTACTGAGCAAGGAAGGCTTCATTTTTCTGGACTTGGTGCACCAAAGAAAGAGAGCAATTATGCCTTTTGTCAGGTTGGAAATAGGACGTTTATTAATGATACATTCAATTTTTTATTGACTTAACCCTCGGACGTACAAGGGGGGGGGGGGGATGGATACCACCCACCCATATGGTTTTTCTGAGTTTTTTCCTAGAGGATAAAATGTTAGTACCAGACGTTTTCAGTTCGTTAATCCGTCGCGCACATTTTGAGACAAGTTTAGTGATGGTCAGTTGCTATGGTTACGATATATGACGTCAGAAGTAGCGGGTGGTCAGGCCAATTTTGGGTGAAAATACATGTTTTTTCAACTTCTTTCAACAATAAAAGTAAATATTGTGGCTAAAATCATACAAAGTGCTTGTTTGTGTGTTATTTGTCATTTAAAGCACAAAAAATTACCATTTCTCGCAGTTTTAACCAGATTTCTAATTCTTGGTAAACTCCAAGATGGCGACGATTGTGGGTGACGTCACAGGCCTCCAGCAGCGCCACCAGCCCTTAAATATACCTCATCTTGTTAAGAAGATCAAAGGCTTTCCACTAAAGATAAAATGGTTTCAAAGTACTGCAACATATCAAAAACTCCGGGGAGGGGTTCCATGCATCCCCCCTTGTACCCCCCTCCCCTTATACCTGAATTTGCATGTACTTCCGAGGGTTAAATTACCAGTCCGGAATATCCCTAAATTTAAGGACAGGGCCAACTGGTCACGCGACACTTTTCAACCAATGAGAAGGCGCGCTTGTGTTTATCAACAAACAAATCAAAACATCGCCCCAGTGATCAAAAATTTTCAAAACAACGGACGGAGTCGGACAGAATCAGTCATCGTTTCGAGATTCTCAGGCATATTTTTAAGACTTTCATGAGGCATAGACAATTTTTTTAAGTGGACAGCGTATCGGAAGCTATATTGAAAGGGTCTCGTGAAATATTCAGCACATTCAGCACGGGTTTCTCACAAAAGCAGTGTTATTACTTTTTTTCGCATTAGTACGAGCCTTTGCCTTTTTTCTTTTCAAGGCCAAAACAACTTTATTAGTCTTATGGATATTCACGTCCACAATCTCGCCTCACTTTGCCGAATTTGCGGGGATGAAATTGAAGATCATAAGCGCAAGGTAGATACTAACCGCTTTGTTTCTGAAATTCACTAATCTGGAAAGATTTAATGTTGTTGGATTCTCCAAATGTTGAAACAAGGCAAATCTCAGTTGTAAATGCTGTATTTCGCTACTCATTGAACATGCACTGATTATCTGGGATAAATTTAAAACATTGCAGGTACTACAGCAAGCAAAGAAAGCACCAGATGCGTGAAGTCAACACAAAACAACGCAAAAAAACAAACAAGAAAAATTAATAAATTTGAACTACTTTCTTTTCTTGTTATGATGACTGGTTCTTTGATTCTTGTCCTGTAGAAGTTAATAGGTAGTACCAATGCTGTTTTGTACGATCTCAACAAATTTTCACACTCTCTCTAAGGCTATTTTTACACGGGACGAGTTTGCTTCTATCAAGTATCTTGCAAACCATGCCAGTGAAGCCAAGACCTCTGCGATCGGTCCGGAATCAGTTCGAACACCCCAGTGATTCCGTGCAAGCTCTTATTCTCTTACATGACATGTTTTCTTTGAAATATTAAATGTGAAACCTAGACGAGTACTGTAAGTTCATTTTTAATTCTGTCCGACTCCGTCCGTTGTTTTGAAATTTTTGATCACTGGGGCGATGTTTTGATTTGTTTGTTGATAAACACAAGCGCGCCTTCTCATTGGTTAAACAGTGGCGCGTGACCAGTTGGCCCTGTCCTTAAATTTAGGGATATTCCGGACTGATTACAAACTCAAGCCTTTAAACCAACATGGTTAACAATCAACGTTTGTGTTGTGTATTTCTCATTTCTCTGACGGACACTGTAGCATCGGCGTATTGTGCATTTTTGAAATAAGAGTTTAAGTCCAACAAGAGATAAGACCTTCTTGATCATCAGTGCGTTGTTCACAAGAGTTGTGTTTTAGATTTGTTGACTGCAACGTGTTCAGCAGGAGCATCCACTATTAGATATATTTTATAGACCTAGAGTTTGCCTAATCATTTTCTTAATGAACTGGGACAATATCACTTTGTTCAAAAGGATCAAGGAGACAATATTTCTTTAAACAGTCAGGGAAAATTATTGTGTTTGGTAATCATGATTTATAGGATTATAAGTTTGAGAATCCATTCTACGAGCCGCCCAATATTCTGGCATCCGTCGGCCATGAAAATGTCACCAGGGAACTGTCAATGAAGGCAGATGGTCGCTATAGCAACGCTTTGACAGTCTAGATTGAGGTGAGTAGCTTTGAAGACACATAATAAATTGAAACTGTTTCAAAGATTTGCTGATTAAAATAGCTACCTTCGCGAAAGAGTAAAGCACTTATAACTAAAGAAGAAGTTCAAAGTGGCACTTAACACTTGACGGCAAATTCAAGCAATAACTTGAATCATCAAGCTGATTGTCATTTCCCGTACTCATTTTCACCTGATGATTCTTTTTAACGGAGGCTCTGTGGGTTCATTAAAAACGGTCACATCTGTAGATTGTAATTGGTTGATTACGATCCATTCTTTTTTTTAATTATTATTTATTTCCGTGGTGATTATGACAGAAAACGAACTTTCTCGGAATGTATTGTTCTTTTCATGTAATCCGATTGGTCAACTTTGTCTAGATGGCCTCGGTTATAGTAGCCACACTGCAACAGACGGCAGCGTCCATTATATAACCGTGAGAACTGTACGTCCGTTTAAACGATTCAAAGTTGCTCTTGTTCTTATTGCCTAACTGGACGCCCCTGTCTAAAAGCTAACAGGTCAATACAAGCTTTTTATTTATTAGTATATTTGATGTTGTATTCCAGGAGATCACTCGTTTGTCTTTCAAAGTGTGCACCAAAGACAGTCAGCGAATGAGCAAGTCTCACAATCCAGTTACAGTGGACTATGCTATAGTGGGAGGTACATTACTCTTATATTTGCTTATTCTTTAAATTCAAAGATTTGTCTCTCATACTGGTTCGTCCTGCTATCAAGGAATTTGGACGTTGGGTCAAACGTCGAATTGAAGAAATGAATTCCAATAAGAATAAAAAACTATGATCAAATGTCGAAGAAAGAAGACAGCATCGTATTGATCGCCTTTGCAAACGCTTTTGTAGAAAAAGTAACTTCCCATTTCCTATCTTTTTTTGCTTGCGCTCTCAAAGGATGTAGGACGTCAGGTCAATTTGCTATTCATACAAGTGCTGATTTTCTTGTTGTTTTTTTACCCTAAAGATATAGACCCGTGCACAAACGTTACTTGCGATTACCATGCCATCTGCAAAGCTTTCTCTGCATTTGATGCCCGTTGTGTTTGTGATGACAACTGCCCGTCTTACGAGGAGCCAGTGTGTTCGTCCAACTCGACAACATTTAAGAACAAGTGCTTTTGTCTGCTGGACATTTGCAGGCGCAAGAGTAACCACACTCTCTATCATCCCGGCAGTTGTACAGGTAAGAGAGCGGATTATAGGGATTTTTTGCCGCTGATGACTTATAACATCACTCAATTTGGCGGCCATCTTGGGTGCCATCTTGGAATCACCGTTTTAAGCACATGGCATTTTCTGTGCAGCTGTAGGTCCAAAATAAATCATGATTAAATACTATTTTGCTTATTTTGGTACTGTTTTGAACGCAACAAAGTGCCAATCATATAGTGCCACTATATGATTGTGTGATTGTACAATCAGCTTTTAATTTAATTCCTCGCATATAGATTGGATTTTCTACGTTTTTTTTTCTCATCCTCATCAGATATATCTAGGATGCATCTTTTTTTGTCTTTATGTTAACTTTATGGCTGTTGTTGTTTGTTTGTTTGCTTTTTTATCACTTTCAGCTCCAATTAGCTTTGTTTTTCTTCTATGATGTATCTTCTTTTTCTTGTTGTTCCTCGACAAGTTTTCCTGTTCAGACTGGGCGAGTTTCACTGAGGAGACATGTACAGTGGGCAGAGACGGCCTGTGAAGTAGTGAAATTTCCACCGTTTTCATTCTATCCGGACAAAGAAGTGCACGTACAAATAACGACCAATCACTGGAACATAAGCGAGAAAAATTTTGTACACGATGCTACTGTGTCCTGGGTGGAAACTGTTAACTTCGAGAATTTTGAGGTGAATATTTTAAAAGGAAGTTTTCAATTCAAGTATTACTTCAAGTAGTAATTAGTGAGCCTCTGTTCATTACTTCGGCGGAGCGCGAAGTAAAGGTTTCGCGACGCTCAGGAATGTATCAAAGTTACAATTTTTTGACAAGATGGGGCATGCAAAGTCTGTAGGTTTTCGGTTTTATTCGGCTATTTGACGAAGTGAGAGCCGAATTAATTCGAGATATCTCGAGGTCACTTCGATTTCTTTGATTTATTCTTTAACTTTTTCGAGGAGGAAAGAATTATTATTTTGGCTTTCCCGGGGTTTGAACCGACTCACCTGTGTGACCCGTCAGATCAGAGGAGACTCTAAGCTGAGGGATTAGCCGATTGCGCTACTGCGACCCAAGGTAGTTTGGGATATGAAAAATAGTTATGAAATGATGCACTAGTTTCGGGACAAGATTGGGCGTGCAAGTTCGATTCGGCTTGTTTCAACTATTTCACGAAATGAGACCGGACTACTTCGTGATATCTTGAGATCACTTCGAGTTTAGTCTTTAATTACTCGAGGAATAAATAGAGGATATTTCGTGGCCGCGCCGAGACACGAAATTTCTCTTCGAGTGTTGAAAAACGTTTCACGAGTGAGACCTCCTTTCGAACTGTTTTATGATGAATTTAAAGTTACAAAATGCTGCAAAAAGACATTTTGTCTTTGTTGAGTGTTACGTAGTAAAATTGTTTTCATGCGTTGCGTGACTTTCTCGAACGTTCTCTACGTTTTTGGATTAGCCATGAATAATTAATTAGGGCATGTTTACATTTCAGCATGAGTCAGCAGATTTGCATCAGTTACTGAAATCATAAAATATGTCGAAAAGCTACTACTATTCGCCTGCTGTTTAGTATTTTCTAGAACCTTATGTCAAACGGTATACAAGTTCCAAGCGAGTTCTTTTGACGAACTAAGTTTTTTTCCCACGAGCTGGACTGCTGTGTTTAGTCAAGCGTGACGAAGGTCGATTTTCAGGTACAGTGAAACCTGTATTAGGCGGACACCGTATTAAGCGGACACCCTCTATTAAGCGGACACTAGCCGAAGTCCCCAAATCCATTTCCCTTATTTACTTTAAATGAGACCTTTATTAAGCGGACACCTCTATTAAGCGGACGCGGACACCTAAAAAGTACCTGAGATGGTCATTTCTATTGTTGCCAACCTGTGTTAAACGGACACTTGTAATTAAATTCCACCACCCAACATGCCAGACATAGGAAATGCGAAAGATTGCCTCAAATTGGCACCCACAAATGTTTCGTTTTCACATTAAAAAACATGACTTGGCGAGCTTATTTGATTAGTTTCACAGTACAGTATTGTTTTCTACTTCGTTTTGTTTGTATAGAGCTTGTTTCACTCGTCTGATTTCTTCAAATTTAAGTTGCAATCTGTGTTTATGGTACTATGATCAACTGGTCCACTTTGATAAAGAAATTAATGCAAAACGTACATCGTCACAGTCTCTGGGAGTATTCTAAACGTTTCCATTGTTCATTTGAATGGCATTTGACACCTCATATGACGTTATCTATCGAAACCTGTATTAGGCGGACACCCTGTATTAAGCAGACACTACAGCATTCCCCGAGGGTGTCCGCTTAATACAGATTTCACTGTATTGTGTTTACAAGTTCGCGGAAGCCGTAAGATATCTGAAGTTCAAGTGAGAGTTTGTTATTATTGTAGAGGCTGTTTAGTTTTACTCAAAGTTCAAGTCAAGTTTGTGTTGGTGGATGCTTTTTTTAAAAGCTCTGTAAAGGCTATGTTCCTTTGGTGGTAAACTTCCTTGTGTTAATCCGACATCCCTGCGTGCTGATAGTCAATGAATAATTATCCTCAAAACATTCGAACTCCTGACTTTGAGTTTTAGCCAATTCCATCCTCAACGTAATTGACTCCTTACCCATGCCTTACATATCTTTAATCAGTACATGAGACTGCTATGCTGTTTTTGAAGCCTGATGGTGACTAAGAAAAATAGAGAACTGTTTTTTTTAGAAGGATTTATATGGAGTCATCAGAGCATAACTGGGCTAATATCTCGGGGTGACAATTTCTCCTGAAATGCTAGTTTTTGGCAAGTAGGCCTCTTGGATGTTGCTCTTTTCAGAATATCCTGACAAATCCCATAATTTCACAAATTAACACCTTACTCTTACCATATTTGATTTCTTACTATTCCTTCGCATTCACAATTAATTAGTTCCACAACCACGACGCCGAAGTGTACGCTCCGTAGCGTCTTGTTTGTCTTACATCTCCAAGAACTCTTGTTTACCTGTCATATTTCTGATCAGTAAAATACCATTTGAACACATTTTATTTTCTCAACGAGTTACTAGCGGAGATTTCGCGTCTTGCGCGCGCAGAGGAACACTGTGGGTAAGAAAATTTGGTTATCTATGCATCCAAGAAATTTTGGTTACTAACAAAATCGTGCGTACGTACGTAGACGGCGTCTTCATGTTAACGGATGTGAAATGTCTTACTAGCTGTAAGTCCAAAACATATACAAATTGTGTTTAACTCGATTTTGGACATCCATGTTATAATCAGTTGACAGCTGTCAAAGTAGGGCATCGGCAGACCAGTGTCACATGACTTTATGGCGGGCTCAGGTGTGCAACTTATTGAGATGACGGGTTTTTTTAAAGTTCTCCGCTGACCAGTAACAGAATTCAAGAGATAGCAGGCTTAGAAAACTTTACTGCAGGAAGTAAGTTACCACGAGAGCTTCGCTTTTGGCTTTGGCTAAATCTATATATTATCTTACCATATAAAATAAACATTAGCCATTACATTTTATCTTTAGGTGTGCGTGACTGCAGCAGGAAGAAATGATCGCTTTGTCAAAGAATTTGCCACGGTGCACTGGATGGCCTACCAAGGTGCTCCTGATGGAGGTGTGGCGGATAAAATGCGCATTCCAGAATGGTGGACTGGATCACAGTGCTCAAAAGTCAGCCTTCCTCAGGCAATAACACTTTATTGTTACCTCTCAGCTGCGTCTTGTTTCGTTGCATAAACCATAAAAAATAAATGACCTTTAGTTAAGTTTTCAATAAGGTGAACATTTGCTATGATGATGTCATAAGTACTAAACACTCCAGTTGTTATCCAATCGAAGATATCGTACTTGGACTTGGAGACATGAGCTGCAAAGAGACAGCCCAGTTCTGTCCGCGAAATTCTTTCCGACACGTAGCCCATTTTTAATCCTTTTTCAATTTTTACACTATTTGTCAGAGGTGGGGAGATATTCTTAAAAAAGCATTATTTAATAAAAAAAAAAAAATAGGACAAAGAAACTTGAACGGTCAAGGGCTAAATTTGACTTTCGCGTTCAGACACCTGACGACGATCCGATGTCCTATGAGCATCCCGATCATGTGAAATGTTATTTATTCCAAATTTTACATGCTATTCTCCCAATCAGTCTTGCTGTGTATACTTAATGATTACCAATTCAACTTTCTTACTGTTATGAATGTTTTTTTCAACAGGGAAAATTTGCGTGGACACCAACGGTCCTGGTTACAGCAGAACATATAAGTGCAGACTTTAAGCATGATGCCGCAAGTTTGTGGGTGGAAAACGCAACCAGTTCCTCCTTTTACATTTGTCTTCGAGAACTACAGAATTATGATGGTCTACATGAAGATATCTTTGTGGTATATGTTTTCTCTTTTATAAATATATCTGTCTGGAGTTTGCTAAATCGTGGCTAAAGAAATTTCAAGTGCATTTTAACAATTTGATATCTACGTCGAATGGAAAGTAGTTACGAAATACTAGCTGACAACTTTATTGCTGGCAACAGACAGCTACAGACGGTAAATTTCTCTCTCAGAAGTAACAGGATTTTGGCATAAAATAAAGAACATTTGAAACGTCCAGAACTTATAACTTTTTAGTCAGCCAAACCATGAGGTCCCATAGACAAGTGTCTGCCGAAAACAGATTAGTAAGCCACAATCTTTGAGCACAGAATAGGCTTTCTAAGACACAATCACCTAAACTAAATACTTGCGAAGCGTTTTTTTTATGCTTGGTACCGTAATCTGGTAACACGAGCTCAACCACATACCTGAATTTTGTTTGTCAACGCTTTCGGTAAATCACACAATATTAATTTCGTGGCCATCACAGAACTTCCAAAAACCACTCGTAATATTTCCACATTTAACACGGGCGAATCATCGTCAAATTACTTGGAAAAACTGTCGCATTCTGCACATAAATCGTCGATTGAAACTTTTCTCGAGTCACACAGTCGATTTATTCAAGATCCTGGATGTAAACCAGCGGTTGAAAGGGAGACATGGAGCCCCCCGCCTTCCAAACAATTTTTTGACGAAGACGTCTTTGGCCTGGTCAGAGATCAGCATCAATTTCCATCTCGCCGGATAAATTTCACCCCTAGAACCTACTTTGTGGGGCCAAAGACTTTTTGCTGCCAACAACAAAGCTCGCAATATCCAATCTTTCCTTCTCAAACCCAGGATCAGTCTTTCATCCGTGTAGCTAAATGAGACGAAGTACGAGAAGACGTAGCAGACTTAATCGTGAGACGTGTTCCTTCGTAAGGTTTCATGACGCCTTCTGGAAAGCTTTGCTTAAGGCAGCCACAAAAAACTCTAAGAATGCTCACTAAGAGAGCCGTGTTCAGTCTAAAACGCGCGCTGATTTCAAAGTGGCATACAGAGAGAATTATATAGGAAGTTATGAAAGGCCTTTTTTGGGGGGGAAGGTTGTAGGTTGATAGCCATTGAGAAACTCATGACAGTCTATCTAATGCAGCGCATTATTCAGCCAACAAATTCAACAATATGACGTTGTAATGACGTCAAATAACGTCATTGTGACAATCAAATTATGCCTAGACGTTGGAAATTTTTTTATTCTGTGTAATTTTGGTAGCCGTATCATTAGAGGTTTTAAAGTTATAGAGGGGAGCCTCGAAAGCCAACCCACCCCGCTCGCAGGGAGCAAAAAAAAAAACGCTCTGAATAGGGTCAATGATAATATACGTGAAATGAGCTCTCGCAAGCATTGTGGATACAAGTTACAAATCGTTTTTCGGGCACATGGCTCAATTATTTTTACACAGGATTTAGGTATGAGATAGCAATCCATTTTTGATTGCTATCCCTCTTTTTAGAGTTGGATGGCCTTTGAAACAATCCACAGGCCCCTTTTCGCTGAGAGCAAACACGTGGATTTTCCAAACAACAATTCCGTTTCTACGAGCTACAATGGTGCATTTTGCAAGGTAAGACGCAACTTTACTTTTAAGTAGAAGAAGCTCTTTATCTGTTTAGATGGAACAGTAGACTTGCTACAAGTCCACCTCTCGGCGAGGCCGCGAAGCGGCCTACCGAGCGACAAAGTCGCGCGAGAGTTCGACCTTCATCCCGCGCCATATTAAATCCGACGAAGGACTTTTTTGAAAGTGTAATGGAACAGCAGAGAAAAGCAGCTATGAAATAAGTACATTTAGGCATTTTAAATCATCTTTGCGGCTTTAAAACTCCAGATTTTATCCCAATTTAATAAATAGGAGTAAAAACGAAGAAAGTCGACCATGATTAATCTCTCGTCTAGTTGCCATATCACGTCATCATGATCTTTCAGAAGAAAAGAGATGAAAGGAATTTGTTTTATGAACGTTCATCACCTATAATATGACTATGCGTTGATCAGGAATGGATGGTGTTTCAAATTTTATATCAACAGCCTTCTTTTTATGTCCTTAGGACGTCCCATTTGCAAAGAATTACGACAACGAACCCATAGTATTAATAGCAGCCGGTCACAACTCAGAAGGCAACAATTTGAAGCCAATATACATGTCCGTGACCCCATGGATTGAGGTATTCTCAAATTATTTAACTAATACACAACAAAATTTCTTCAAAATAAGTAACATCAAGCTGACAGGGTTGATAGGGAATGCGCAAATGAGCTAAATTTCACCAAGGTCTGTTCATGCAATCTGTTTATCAGTGACAGTCGCGCAGCGAAACATTCCATCCATTTGTCTATCTGTTATTCAAGGTCAGTTTCCCATGTTCTTTTTTTGTTTAGATAGGGAAATGACTCAGTTACAGGCTGTTAAGCGAAAGTCTCTTTAAGTTGAGCTATTATTGTTCTTCTAAGGTAAATATGATATGATGATATGCTTATTTTACAGCATATCAAGACCAGCGAATTTCGCATTTGTCTCAAGGAGTTGTTCGCTGACCAGCATGATCCTGTGACTGTCTCCTACACAGTACTAGCAGGTTAGTAAATAATAAAAACAAATTTAATAATTTCTTTGCGAAGACCTTCTCATGCCGCCCAGCAATTGTTAGATGGAACGAACCATACGCTAATTTGGGTTGACCATACTCACGTTAAGATCTCGTCTAGATCTGCTGGGTCAGACGTCGATCTTTATATATAGGACGCATCGAGCCAATCATGTGAATCAGATCAGTAATAAAATTATTTTCCCCCGAACGATTTTATATACATTATGCAACAATTTTTTAAATTTATTAGTTTAGTTCAGGGCTTGTGAAGATCGACGTTTGTACCGGAGACGATCTTCGGACGCTCTGCCCGTCTGAACATGTTGGACGATCCAAACTCATTCAGACTATCTTAACTGAGTCAGAAGTAAAACGTTTGATAAACTTAACTCACTAAGTTTGGTTCGTCACATGAAAAGTTCGACGTCTGGCCTATATGCCTTATTTTCTCTTCGTTTTGCACTATTTACTTCACACAAATTTTTTTGTAATATTGCAGATGTATGCAAACCGGGCTGGTCATATTTTAATGGTATTTGCTACGCGACAAGCCACTCATGCAAGAATTGGACCGAAGCAGAGAAAATCTGCCAGGCATACAGCGCCAACCTCATCACCGTACGGAATCAAGAAGAAAACGTTTATATTCAGCATCGGCTGAATGGTGCTAAGGGCTGGATTGGTCTAAACGATAGGGTCACAGAGGGCAATTTCACCTGGGCAGATAATCAAACCAATAATTTCACATACTGGGCGAAAAACCAACCAAACAACTTCAACAATGAAGATTGCGTTCACACATTAGGAGTCAGACATAGTTTTAAGTGGAATGATGTGAGGTGTGATACATGCCATAACTATACCTGCTCAGAAGGCTTGTGGGTGACTTACCTCTCTTCTATAATAATAGGCGATGTTCATCATTATCATCATCATCATTACCAATATCATTAGTTCCTATTCAAAAGCCATTTGCGATTTGCACCAAGCTGATTTTTCAAATCGAGGTCAACCTCAAAGTTTTTGTTTACATGTGGAAATTGTTCTCTATTCTCATTCAAATAAACCCCTTCCTCTTGTAAGGGTTCGCTCTTAAACTCATTTTCTATGAATCATCATCATCATCATCATCAGTAGTAGCAGCAGCAGCAGCATTATTGCTAGCTGTTATTCAAAAAGCCATTTCCAAGTAGCCCCAAACCTTAATTGTAAGTGTTCCAACGAAACTCTTTCGCCAAGAAAGGTTTAGCAGTTGAAATCATTTTGCAAGGGAGCGTTTCTAGGAAATTAAAAATGGTCTTTAAGTTAACGCCGCCAGGCTTTAAGTGTCATTCATACATAAATGTAAGGTTTTTCTTTCTTGTTGCCAAAAAAGACATACTGGCATCTTACCAATTTGCACCTTAACAAGTGTTTTGAGCTTACTGCAAATCTGGTAGTTATCAAAATGTTCAAAAGGAATGGATTGAAGGATTAGCTTACAAAAGAAAATCAGGTACTAGAAAATCAGAAAACTAGAAAATCACTGGAAAATCAAAGAAAATCAGTGACTAGAAAAATCAGACATCGGAAAAAGAATTCAAGAGGCTAACGCTTTTAGCGTTTTTTCAATAAGTCCTTCATCGACAAGAGTTTTAACTGACTGATCCATGTGCACATACATTTATATTAGGTTCATTTCATTTTTGATAAAAAAAAAGTTAATTGACAATCAATTGGCGGGTTGATTGATTAAACAATTGTTAATTACTTGATTTTTAAATTAGATTTCGATGAATGTGGAGGAAATAATAACCACTGCCACAAGAATGCTGTCTGCACAAACACCATCGGCTCCTATAAGTGCCATTGCCCCGTAGGATATGCTGGTGATGGCTTGGCATGCACAGGTATCGTATGCTCTGGAGCACCAAATCTATTTTTCCTTGAAACACTACCGGTAGTTTTATTAACAATACTTTTGGAAAAGATAGGCTAATATTTTAAGGGTAGAACGAAATGCTGTCCAGTAAATACTTCAAATTTTAAACAGTTGCTAGTTAAAATTTCAGGTCACAAATACAAAACGCTGAAAAACTAGAACAACATTGTCTCCAACACAAAAATCTTGTTACAGGACAAGCATGGCTGACCCAAGGTCGCCGTAGTAGACGTGTGTAACCACAAACAAAAAAAATAAAATTGTTGAGCAACAAGAACATTACAAAAAAAAGAACATCAAGAGCTCGATAAAAAAGTTTAGTCCAAAAAGGGCTCTGATGGAAAGTAAATTAGAAAGGCAGGGGCTCCAAGAACTTGTGTCGCAGACTTAATCTCCTCTCGGTTAGTAACGTCTGCGGCGAGATTCTTCATCTAGACCCCAAACGGACTCAACGAATTATCGGCAGTGCGTTTTGAATTTTACTTCAACATGATTGGCCAATCGAGCAATGGCTTATTAACAATCTAATAATGGCGCCTACTCAAATCCTGGTACATGTACACAGCTGGGAGCACAGAAATCGGCGCTGGCTAGCAGACGGACTTCATCAGAGGTTTTTGGTCTGTGGCGCAGGCTAGGGCTGTAAACGAAATCAAACAAAAATCAGGCATTATTGCTGACCGAGGAAATTCTTGGCGAGCAGTTGTAAGCCGTTCGTGATAGTACCTCGACAGCTGCAAGACAAAGAGTATTGTCCAGCAGCGTTAATATGAACACCATCAGGCCAATATGGGTCATAGCTTGGTTAAAAAAACCGATATGTCGCCAACAGAAAACTTCCTCGTATTCACTTAAAACGGAAAAATTTATTATTCGACTGTGAGACCCCTGATGCCGTGTTAAAGAACATAAACATTCCTCAAGAGGTAAAACGTCTCTGAAGCGCGCGGTCAAAATTGCTCTTAAGGTTGAAAGCTTACCAACGCACAAAAGAATGGCCTATAACTAGAACTCAAATATTTCAAAGGTGGTATCGGAATTGTCATAGCAACTAAATGATGCCATACCTGTTTTACTTGCAGCCGTATTCTCGGCATTAGAACTGTTCTTCACAAATCGTTCACGGGAACTTAATTTTTCTTCCAAAAGCCGCCTCGATGGTCGGGAATTTTAAGCGAGATCTATGATAGCGTTATCGAGATATTGTGGGATGATGTTTTTATAGTTAGAAATAGGGTAAAAACAGAGCCTGCAAAGTAGTTTCCAAAGTGCGGGGGCCGAGCCACCTATTTTGAAGTGGGGGGGGGGGGTGGACTTTTATAATGGTTTACCTGGTGCCGACTCATTATTTTTTAATACAGTTCCAACCCATCAATCATTTTTTAAATAGTTTATCGAACGAAAAAGGGGTTAGTAACAAAAAAATGTGAGCATGTACAGCAGCATCATAATTTTGCGTGTTTCATTCGCTTTCAAAGTTTGTCCTTTCTCTCCTTGCGGCTGTTTAGGGCCTTTTTTTAACCATTGTTGAAGGGAGCCATCTTTTTAACCTTCGAGCTGCCGAAAAGGACCTTTTTCTCCTGCTATGGTTGCAGGATTTACCAAACTTCTACCATGTCATCGAGTTCAATTTGTTTTTAAGAAATTGTAGCTCCGTGGAGATTTAAGAACCTTGATAGAGAAGACTCCATAGTTTGTGCGTATGCGACATCACCTGGCTGGTGAAAACGCAGAAGTCTACGACTAAGTATAGTTTTGTAAAGATAGTCGTTTTGAAGCTTACCATAGTGATAGCGGAGCTCTAAGCGCATAGCCCCATAGCTAAGGAGTTGTGGTAATCTACCAATCCGATAAAATTTGGTAATCAAGTGACCGTACATGGAGCGAGCGATCGAGCGACCGTCCGTCCACACCACAGGTATACCAATGTAAAATAACTCAATCAACAGGTATGTCAACCCAAATGCAACTCAAGGTTTTATTTGGAAGGAAAGCACCTAGCCGCCCGGACTTTTAGAAGAAAAAACAGCAACAAAGTCTTGTCTTTTTCGGCGTTATTTTTTATGTTTACACTAATTTGGACAAGAGAGAAAGTGCTAGAGCGAATTATTGAAAACAAAGGAGACGAATTTCGTAGGAAGAAAAACATGGAAATTCAAAGCGGCGGTAAGAAAGTGAGAAATGCTAGCGGCCAGCAAGGTGAAAATGAGCGGCAATAAAAAATAAAAGCGAACATGAACGCAGGAAACAAAACATTGGGTAAGCACATACTACAATTCCTCCATAAAAATAATGTGTAACTAGCAAGTTTGACGTTTTAGTCGTACGAAACAGCATTGTAGTCGTGCAAAACAACGGCAAGGGAAAGACAATTAGACGAAAAAGTGTGCTGCACGTTTAATTTGTTTTTTTGCTAATTAGTTCTATTAGTCTTGAAGCCATTTTCATTGTCGTCCCCGTTTAGCATTTTTTGTTTACACGTATTATTAACCAGAGCTTCGCTTTTAGCCCTGGCTAAATCTATTTAGTATATACTAAAACAGTGGATTGGCTACTCAGTGACCATCCTGCACTATTCACTGATTCACCTCCAGTTCCTCCGAGCGAGCGACGCCAAACTCGCGTAGGTTGAGAGCAAAATGCTTTCCCGGTTTGCTGCCGTAACAAACTAAGAAATTTCACAACTAATCAAGCAAGCTATTTCCGAAAAGATGAAGAAGGTGATTGAAGTTCGGTTTGGAAGTTTTAACAGGTGGAAGCTTTATCTTTTTGAGGAATAGTTATCGATAAAACGGCAAGTCCGGTGAATGGGTTGTTTTTGTTTAAAAATGCAAATTAAGTCTTGCGTTACTTTCGTTTTGTTGATTTGTTCATAAATAACGTCCATTAAAACTAAATTTAATAACCTTTTTACAGAATTATTTTAAATACAAACAGAATTCACCACTTGATTTTGAAGAAACTTGTAGCAGTGTATAAACAAACGCCAGAACAAGGTTTTATTTGATCGCTAAGAAAAAGCGAACATCCATGTTTCGTTCGGTCATCGCGCACGAAAATTGTAATCGTTGGCAACAGTAAATGAGTTAAAAATCATCATTTTTGTGCTCAATTATCTCACTGTTTTAGTATATACCAAAACAATTATTCACCTCAGTGTTGGTGGCTAGTAGTGGATATTTACCTCGCCCTGCGCAGGGCCCTGAAAATCTGGACAATCTTGACGTTGTGCCGTTATCTTAAGAAAACGAAGCGCTTTTGAATTAATGCAGTTACATCTCATAGCAGTTTTAATCTCTTTAAAAACGTGTATGAATGAAGAAGGATTTAAAATGACGGTTAATCATAAGAATCTCAAATTTTAAGAATAACCTAGAAAACCAAAATGTTCCCAAACCGCTAACAAGGGCGCCTAATCAAATACCTCTTTCTTGCAATCGGCTAGAGCTATCCCCATGATTATTCACACTCGTTTTTAAAAAGATTGAAACTGCTATGAGTTAGAATTGCATTTCAAAAACGCTTCGTAACTACAGATAACGGCGGAACATCAAGGTTGTCGTCATAGTAATATCGATATTACTAAAACTGCATTATGGTGAAAGTTTTTTAGCGATCGGACGAGGATAAAATCACTTTTAAGGCGATTAAAAAATATTGTTATGGTCTCCTGAAAACTGTATCCAAACACTTTAAAATCCGCTGCTGAACGGACAAGAATATAATGACTCAAACATAAACTTGCTGACGGATGTAAAAGCGTAGAGGGGTTAAAACTTAATTTAATTATCTGCTCCTCACGCCCAGGCCTACTAGGGCTACTTATTTGCAGGCAAATATTTCTTATATGCCAGAAGCTTTTGAAAATTAATTTATGGTACTCTAAATTTCTTGAAAAGGTAGTAAAAAGGTTTTTCTTTGCTTTAGATATCGATGAGTGTTCTTCAGGTCACCAGTGTGACAGCAGTGCAACATGTTACAATGCAGATGGATCCTACACGTGCATCTGTAACAACGGCTACACGGGAGATGGACGAACCTGTCGAGGTACAAGCCAGGAGCACATTTTAATCGCCTTCTAACAAAAAGCCTTTACAATACAACTGATGTTTACTTATGAGCAAAAAAATTGAAATCCGTCTCTTCTCAGTGGTCTATTTAACTGTTTTTTGTGCCTCAGAAAGTGCACTTCTGTGATATTCGTTGACACAAAAAAGATATCGAGCATAATGATAAATCCTTATTGTTTTCCAGATGTTGATGAATGCTCACTCAACACCCATGACTGTGACGCGCTTGCAATCTGCACCAATACAGAACGGTCATTTACTTGCAAGTGCGACCTGAATTCGCATCACCTTGGCGATGGAAAAACATGCACTCCTCATCGTAAGCCGAGCTTTTTTCATTTATTTATTCATTAATAGCTTTCTACAGGGAGGGTGACCAGTTTGATAACCGTTCATTTCTAGTATGTGGAAGGAGTATAAGCAAACAGTATATGGCATTTCATCAACCGATTTGGCTCAAAATAACAACTTCCGCCTATTCGTAATGTCGATCATCTTGATTATGCTGTTCTCCAAGAATGTGCAACTAAAGTAGTGTTTAATATATTTCAAATACACTAAAAGCAAGGTAGCATGATCGTTTTTGTCGTTTACCTGCCTAATTAGTGACCACTAAATGATCTTGAAAGTGCTCCCTGGGGATTAAGGGGTTGCATTTAAACGCGGGTTATTTATTTTACCTCATCTAAGCGGGTAACCTCAACTACCTGTGGTCCCCCACCTCTATGTAAACAGACCTTAAAGGGGCTATGTCACCCAACACGCATGCGCGAGCCAATGAAAACAAACTTGAAAAAGACAGCCCAACTTTTTCAAGTTGTGTCGGAGATTTTGGAAGGCTGTTTTTATCTGTCTAAATCTCAGCCATCGTTCGATAGTTAGCGAAGTTTTGTATTAAGAATCATTCTATGGTGATTACAAAACAATTTTTTGGCGTTATTTTAAAATTGTTTGCCTGTGGAATGTTTTTACGTGGATTTACTGTGTCCTCTTATCAGCGGCCGTTGTAATGGCAGAGTTAATGACGGCTACTCCACAATGAGTGATGGAATCTTTGATGGAATCTTCCCTATAGTTCACAGGACCTTTCTATTGAGTTATTTTAGAGGCTACTGGCTCTTGGATTTTTCTTGTGCTCAAAGTATGTGGACATATAATGAAGCGGCTATCGAGTTGGCGGCGGCCGTTTCTTGTAAACGATTACAAGAGCATCAGGCCATGAGTTTCGTGACGAAACTAAACTCCTGGCGAAGGAAACATTCTAAAATTCGGCTAGATTCCTTCTTGTATTTATCTCGATTCACGGCAAAGATAAACACGACCGTTTGCTCGTCCAGATTGTTCTCAACGGACTTAGAGAGGCACCTTAGTACGAGTTAGATCCTGTAAATGCCATGTTTTTGAACTGTTTGTGTTGGAGCATAATTTTGGAAAATAGCAGAGTTTGCTTTCCCTTTTTATCAACGGACTGCTTATGGTGGAGTAGTATACCAATGATGCTGGGTTTTTCTCGACGTCGCAGTGATTCGGCACGATCGAACAATTTTGCGCGATAATGTATGTTTCCCTAAGATCAAAACAAAGACTTGGTCTCTTGTTCTATCAGCATCTAAATTATAAAATCAATAGCGACAGACAAGTCTAATTGTTAATGATTTGAAACAGTCTTGGTCTTTATCTTCGGTCTAGCGTCTTTTGTAGCTCGTTTGTAAAATACAACTTCCATTTATTTTGTTGAATAAGACAATATGTTGTTGTTGAATTTTTGTTTGCGCTCTATTTTATGAATGGCATGCGTTTTTACTTGAAAACTACAAGTAAAGTTGTCGTCGAAATTTTATTCTTGATCTAGCATAACCAGAGAAGAAACGTTCCATAAATTCTATCGAAATATCCCTTATCTAAACCCATTTCGCTAAACCTCTCTAAATTCGGAACCTTGGACGTGACAGAGAACATGAAGAAAGTCACGCGTTAAAAACAATAGAATTTTGACAGTTGAAAGTAATTTGCATAACCTCACAGCGCACATGGAGAAAGTCACGCGTTAAAAACAATAGAATTTTGACAGTTGAAAGTAATTTGCATAACCTCAGAGCGCATGCTCTCCAGCTGACATAGCCCCTTTAAGGCACCCTCTGCTTAATACGACTGCGGGCTCAGCTGATCTGTGGTCAGATTCACATCGTTTCCAGATTTATTAGCATACGACATACCGGTGTTGCACGAAATTTTTGCTGGTTCTAATTTTTGCGATTTTTCAGCGATCCGCCAAAAATCAGTTCCCGCAAATAACAATTACCGCAAACATTTTTCCCGCAAAAATTTACTCCAAAGTAAATTTTTACTTTGATAATTTACTTTTTTTTTTCACTTTTTTAATTTACCAAAGTAAATTCGCTACCCAAAAATCTAGTACTAAGAAATTGTGTCTGTTCAATTACATGGGCATACCGTAGTGTGTTTTAAAAAATATGTATTTCTATTACACTTACTTAACAAAAACGAAAATATGATCAGTGAAAATTAGGAGGAATTAATTTTTGACTTACCTCCTTTTCAGGTGGCCTTGGTGACTCCGTCATTTTAGCAAACGATGTCAGCAAGATGACGCAACTAAATAACTGGCTTCTTCCCCACTTGCAAAGTTCGGACAGAAGTTACTGGAAACTGTGTTTTAGAGCTTCCATTCATGGCTGGAGATCACGAACCTTTCACAGCTACTGCGATAACAAAGGTCCCACTGTAACCATTGTTAGGGTCGGGATCTATATTTTTGGAGGCTACAACGACAATTCATGGCAATGTAAGTCCGTGAGATAGCTAAGTTACATACCATTAAGGCTTCGACTAGTTGAATTGAATTAAAGCCGAGGGGTCGTTAACCCCAAATATGAAAGAAAGAAGAGATGGAGCCTTAACTTGTGTTTT